TGTGCAAGATGAGCCAATGTAGGTGACTTTCTGAGGGTCTCCGAGGACTACCTCTATAGCTTCGAGGGACTCCTCGGTAGGTGCTTCAGCCTCAGCCTCTTCCTTTGCCTTGAGATACTTGGGCAGAGGATACTGTAACTGCTATTTGATTGCGTCTTTGGGATTCGCCTCTAACAGAGGTGATTTCGACGCCTTCTTTGCTTCATGTAGCGTTAGCATATAACATTCTTTTGCAGTCACCTGGTCTCCCCAGAGGTCGATGACTTCCCTGCCATATGGGGATAAACACCTCATTACTTGATGAAGGGTAGATGGGACTCCGTTCATACGATGGATCCAACCTCTCCCCATAATGAGGTTATAAGATGGATGAATCTCCGTCACGACAAAGTTCTCCTTCAGAGTCCTCTTTGCTGCAGTAACGGATAGATCGATCAACCCAAGCGGATTCACCTTAGTACCATCAAATCCCATTAGGGGGCTGGAAGTTGGCCTGATGGACGATGGTGAAACCCCCAACTGATCAAAAGCTGCTTTTGTAATGATGTTGGCACTACTTCTCGGATCTATCAGCACCCTCCTGATCATATAATTCGCTACCAGGAGGCTAATGACCAAGGGGTCCTCATGCGGGCGCTGGACTCTAGACAGATCATTGTTATCGAATCCAATGTTGATGCTGCCTGGTGCAACCGTGTTTACCGAAGACAATCTTCGTAACTTATGAGCATCTCTCAGCCTGGATCTGTACAACTCTTCAGACTCTTCATCATCCTCTAACCTTCTGTGTATGGCATGGATAACCTTTACCTGACCGCCCTTTACCCGTCGAGGGTTAACCTCCCGAGGTTTTACGTACTCCTTCGTGGCGAGATACTCCACCAACTTTCCTCTCGCTATCATGCTTTCTACCTGTCGCTGAAGGGACCTGCAGTCATTGGTGGTATGCCCATAGTCTCTATGGTAGGCACAATGTTTGCTTTTGTCCCTCTGCTCTAAGGGTTGTTTCATGGGCTGAGGAGTTGCGAACCTCGTCTTATTCTCTTGGAATAGGCGCGCTAAGGTAGTACGGAGAGGGGTAAGCCTGTCCTCTGTCCTTCGCCTCTTCTCAGGCGCTTGGGTGACTTGTGTGGCGATATGATGAACCTTCTGCATCCTTGTGCTTGCAGCTTTCTCTCGAGACTTGTTTTCTACTGTGACGAGGGTAGCGTGCTGTGCACGGTGGGCTACGTTTTCCTCCAACCGAATGTAGATTTGTGCCCTAGCGTTCAAAGTCTGCATATCCGGGGGGGGGGGGGGAATATTTGATCAAGGATGTGTGAAACTTGGTTCCCTGGATCATTGCCAACTTAAATGTTTCGATTGCCGTGGCAAGGTGGCAATCTGCTATCTCCGAGGCTTCCATGTTAAACCTGGATAAGAAATCTTGTAAAGTTTCTCCCTTCCTTTGCCTTATGGTGAAAAGGCTGGCGATACTTTTCTTCTGCTTCTTATTTCCGCAATACTGGGCTAAGAATATAGTGCACAAGGTCTCATAACCAGGGATAGACTTGTGTGGCCTATTCCTGAACCATTCTAACGCTGCTCCGGTTAAACTGGTAGGAAAAACCTTACACATCCACGGATCGTTATGATCGTCCAGTGCCATCTTTTGCGCATAATGATCGAGATGCCGAGAGGGATCTCCTGCCCCATCGAACTGGGTGAAGGATGGCATAGTGAACTTCTTTGGTCTCTCCACAAGGTACACATCGTCAGTAAAGGGGGTCTTGACCAATGAGTTCTTGTGCTCTCTAGCCATCTCGGCTGGTGTCTGAACTCTTAATAGCTTCTTTTCGTCGAAGACATCTTGTACGCCTGCGCCATCTGGAACGCCATTGGACCATACCGTGAGCCTATGGCTGGACTCGGCCTGTTCGTCCTGTGTGCGACGCGGGAGATTGTCCGAAGCAACCGCCTCGGTCCTCGTCCCTTGCTGTTGCTGAACCTCATTAGGTCGAGCCCCGTTAGGTGGTGTCCCGTTAGCCGGAGGCTCGTGAACTGGAGGTAAATTCTGGGTGGGGGGTGGTGCTGCAGCATCGCCTGGTGGTGGTTGTGGCGTTAGCCCGGCCATCGCCGTGTGCAACGTATGAGTTTGCTGCTGAAACGCAGCTATCTGGGCGACACTCGTATCGTTTGCTTGCCGGAGTGTCTCGAATTGGTGCAAGAACTCCTCTCGCATCTTCTGCATCAATTCTATTTGTTGATTCATTGCTGACTCTCCGTTTGACATTCCAGATATGACTAAGGATTTGATTTGAAGAACAAGTGGGAGTATATTTTTATACGTTTCCCACAGACGGCGCCAAAGTGTAGGTGCAAAATTTCGCTCAACCAATAATGATTGAGAAAAATTAAACAACTCACTAAAAAACAATAAGAATAAATAAGAACAGTGTCTAGAGAAGCGTAGAATTGCTTGATCCCTTTATTGGAGGTCTAAGCCTCTATTTATATACAAAAGATTATAAAATTATGGTAGGACTCGCGTTGTTTGCCCTCCAATTCTTTCTATATAAACATTCTTTACTAATAGAGTTCTTTTCATTGTCTAATTTTCCATACATAGAACTTGCCTTGTACAGAATTTCCTATCTCAGAATTTTCCTTCTACGGTAAATCCTTCAACTGGTAGGACTTGTGCATTCTTGAATAACTGGGCTGAACATATTTTGATCCGGCTGGGCTTGAGTAACGGACCGGATATTAAATATTAACAAGTTGGGCTGATGACCTCTTGATTCGGCCTTGATGGAGGTTGGAGGACAAATAACAATGGTCTTGGGCTATAAATACCCTCAATTTGGGCTTGAGCATGATGGGCCTTATATGTCCTTGGAATGTAGATATGTGTAGTGATGACGTGTGCGCTTTTTATTGGAGAGAGTTTTTTTCCCTCCACAGTCTCGAATTGGTGCAAGAACTCCTCTCGCATCTTCTGCATCAATTCTATTTGTTGATTCATTGCTGACTCTCCGTTTGACATTCCACATACGACTAAGGATTTGATTTGAAGAACAAGTGGGAGTATATTTTTATACGTTTCCCACAGACGGCGCCAAAGTGTAGGTGCAAAATTCCGCTCAACCAATAATGATTGAGAAAAATCAAACAACTCACTCAAAAACAATAAGAATAAATAAGAACAGTGTCTAGAGAAGCATAGAATTGCTTGATCCCTTTATTGGAGGTCTAAGCCTCTATTTATATACAAAAAATTATAAAATTATGGTAGGACTCGCGTTGCTTGCCCTCCAATTCTTTCTATATAAACATTCTTTACTAATAGAGTTATTTCCATTGTCTAATTTTCCATACATAGAACTTGCCTTGTACAGAATTTCCTATCTCAGAATTTTCATTTTACGGTAAATGCTTCAACTGGTAGGACTTGTGCATTCTTGAATAACTGGGCTGAACATATTTTGATCCGGCTGGGCTTGAGTAACGGACCGGATATTAAATATTAACAAGTTGGGCTGATGACCTCTTGATTCGGCCTTGATGGAGGTTGGAGGACAAATAACAATGGTCATGGGCTATAAATACCCTCAATTTAGGCTTGAGCATGATGGGCCTTATATGTCCTTGGAATGTAGATATGTGTAGTGATGACGTGTGCGCTTTTTATTGGAGGGAGTTTTTTTCCCTCCACAGTCTCGAATTGGTGCAAGAACTCTTCTCGCATCTTCTGCATCAATTCTATTTGTTGATTCATTGCTGACTCTCCGTTTGACATTCCAGATACGACTAAGGATTTGATTTGAAGAACAAGTGGGAGTATATTTTTATACGTTTCCCACAGATGGCGCCAAAGTGTAGGTGCAAAATTCCGCTCAACCAATAATGATTGAGAAAAATCAAACAACTCACTCAAAAATAATAAGAATAAATAAGAACAGTGTCTAGAGAAGCGTAGAATTGCTTGATCCCTTTATTGGAGGTTTAAGCCTCTATTTATATACAAAAGATTGTAAAATTATGGTAGGACTCGCGTTACTTGCCCTCCAATTCTTTCTATATAAACATTCTTTACTAATAGAGTTATTTCCATTGTCTAATTTTCCATATATAGAACTTGCCTTGTACAGAACTTCCTATCTCAGAATTTTCCTTCTACGGTAAATCCTTCAACTGGTAGGATTTGTGTATTCTTGAATAACTGGGCTGAACATATTTTGATCCGGCTGGGCTTGAGTAACGGACCGGATGTTAAATATTAACAAGTTAGGCTGATGACCTCTTGATTCGGCCTTGATGGAGGTTGGAGGACAAATAATAATGGTCTTGGGTTATAAATTCCCTCAATTTGGATTTGAGCATGATGGACCTTATATGTCCTTGGAATGTAAATATGTATAGTGATGACGTGTGCGCTTTTTATTGGAGGGAATTTTTTTCCCTCCACACCTTCATTAGGTGCCACTAATGTTGAACCAATTTTAGGCTCAATTAATTGCAAAATAAGAACAGCGCGGCTGAAGCCTTAGGCAGTGCCTAATGCCCAACCAATAAAAAAATTTATTTCTTTGTGTATTTTTACTGGTGTCATTACAGTCCCTAACTTACTACCACAAAAGTTATGGAATATATATCAACTTTGTTTACAATAAAAAAATAAATTAAATTCAAATTTCAATCTCCATCAAGAAAAATAAATAAATAAATGTGTTCGCAGTTGCTGAAAGAACCCTTCTTTTCTTTTCTTTTCTTTTCTTTTCTTTTTAACTCGAGTTTTATCCATGTGCACAACACGTGCCTCATTGAAGATTGTGGGCCTATGGGCCATTGTCATGGTTGATGACGTCTTTTTTTATTTCACAGGCTGACGAATTTAACGGGTTGCTTTCTCGAAAGTCCCGAGGCCCAATCCATATGTAGGAGACCCATTACTTTGGCCCACCTTACCAACAGAGCATGCCACATCAACAAAGAATCAGCTAACTAGAGAATTTCTGAATAGAGACGAACGGAGCCCCATTCCTCGCAAGTGTCCCAACCTAGTCTTTTCAAATCTGGCATGCGTCAAACGTATGATTCCATATATTCTCTGTGTGCGCGTCTGCGTACGTTGAGCGGTTGATCTAACACCAAACCCTTAAACTACATCTGACCAAATCGTACAATTCATAGAAACTCCAATGGCTGAATCCAAGCCAGACCCATCAAACTCTCTCTCAGGTACGATTTTTCTTGTTCGTCTAATCATATAGATATATGTGTAAATATATATATATGTGTGTGTCAAATTTGATCTTATACCCATATCACTTTTCCCAATTAATTGGACAAAGTAAAGATCAATTAACAGAAAATGCTGACCTCCCAGATTTGTAATTTTAATCAAGAAGCAACCCTTTTGTGTAATTTAATCATCTCTCTCTATATACACATATATACATGTTTGTACGTAACTCTGTATCTGAATCTGAAATACTCCCCTTGTTTTTTTCCTGCTTTTTATAGTTATCCAATTGAAGAACACAAAGTCAAACTAAATATATTTGTGTATATTATTTACTTGTATAACATATGTTTGTAGTTGTATGTGTATGTGTATATGGGCTGTGTATGCCGTATGTTATGTATGCAAATGTGGAAATGATATGTGCGTGATTGATTGGCAGGTGAAGATGTAAAAGCACCCCATGTATTTGAAAGAGCGAAGGAAGAGATTGAAGCAATAATGCATCATAATCATGAATCAAACCACCATCATAAGGAAACTCATGGATTACGTAGTGACATTGACGAGAACACCCCAATTAGTGATGTCAAAGCCCCAAATGTATTTGAGAGAGCAAAGGAAGAGATCCAAGCTCTTGTTCAAACAATTCATCCAAATAAAGAACCCGAAAATCACGGTTCATCCCCAAATGGTGAAAAAAGGTTTGATAACACATGTTTTCTGATGAATAACAAAATGAGATGAAAAGTAGATTTTTTTAGACATTAATTGGTTTTTAATTGCTTTGCGCTAATATAATCACAGACATGAAAGTGTAAAAGAGGAATTGAAACCAGAGAAATCGGATTCTCATGCAGGTATGACTTCTAACTACCCCAAATATGCCACATTCATTCTAGTCTTGAACAATTATTACTCTTGAATATAATGGTAGTCATGGCCTATGATTGCAGTTTTTCTAGTGTTCTAGAAATAGTTTTCCATAACTTTAACCAAAAAATAAGAAAGGAATGATTTTCTATACATATAAAATGGCATAAACAGACCGAGGCTATGGTCTTAAATAGAGCGGAATAGTAATGTAGGGTTCATCTAGCCAGGAAAAAAGCTTAGTTGTTGTTGTATAAAATGGCTTAAACAACCACCCTCGTTTACCTAGAATAACCACTCTTAGATAATTCTATGTTCTATCATTACTTGTCTTTAGAACTTGTTTGAGGACATACTTAAATTTCTGCACCCAGCAAAAATGGGGAAAACAAAATATTCAATGCATATATATTTGGGAGACTCTAGTATTTCTATTATTTAGATGGCTAATAAACTATCTAGTATTGCAATCGTAGCTCATGCCATTCTTCTGTCTAAAATTTTGCATTCATCACGCGTTGGCTTCGAGTGCTTGAATGGATTAGAATTGAAGCTTCTCTTTCTTCTATCCATAATATGATTTCATCTTGGCAGGAAAAGATGCGAAGGCACACAATTTAATAGAAAGAGCTAAGGAAGAATTTAAAGAAATTTTGCACAAAGAGAAGTCACCGCATCATCATCATAAAGAAACTCATGGGATGAGTAATGACATTGATGAGAACACCCCAATTCATGAAGTTAAAGGTCCAAGTGTGTTTGAACGTGCAAAGGAAGAAGTTGAGGCACTTGTTCAAACAATTCATCCGAAAAAAGAACCGAGGAATGTTGTTTCCTCGCCAAAGGAGGAAGGCGGATTCCGTGTGTCTGTTGGCAGAGCTTTGGAAAAGGTATGCACCGCATGCTCTCCTCGGGCCAGTAAGAAGGACTAATGATTGTAAGATTTTGTGGAGCGTTGACTGTTTTTTATTGTTCGTCTTGTGAGAATGAAATTACATATTTGAAAATTCAACATGATCGACTTCCTCACAACGTATTGGTATTATTGAAAGATTTGAATTCATTGGTTTGTTTTTACCTTCACATTGTTGGTTTTGTTTGGTTGACAGAGTTGTATCAATTTGTGGTTTAAATTGAGTATTGGATTGAAATGGTTATGAGAAAGTGTATTGAGCTTTTCTGCATTTGTGTTGTGATATAGTAATGACATGTTCTCTGATTTGGTACTATGCTTATTTCATCTAAATCCACAATAAATCAACTTCCATACTCTTTTTTTTGATAAGTAAATCAACTTCCATATTATAATGAACAATGAACAAGGTTTGTAGTCTCAAATAATGCAAATTTATCAGCTTCACAAGTCTGCTTGATAAAATAACCTAATGTTCTGTTTGGGAGTATCGAATCAGTGCCTTGGGTTTAGAATTGGAGGAAGTTTAGCTCTAATGTTTTGTTTGGGAGTATCGAATCAGTGCCTTGGATTTAGAATTGGAGGAAGTTTAGCTCAAAATTTTTACTAAATTTTTTCCTATATCCAAGGCGCCAATTCTGTGGTGCCAAACAAAACATAAATTCTTTGGAATTGGATTTCAAAAATGTTCTCTTTCGAAATCCAACCTGCTTCTGGTGAACCTATTCCTTTGATTACTTACTTTGAAACATTCAATTTCTTAATAAAAAATTCTAGTCAAAACGTATGACTTTTTTTTTTTGCACGAAAGTATATGTATGACAAGTTATTTTCTTATGAATAGTACTAGAATATTACACCCACACACACACCCACACACCCACACAATGTTCTTTCTTGTTTTCATTTTTCCATTCTTGACAAGAATTAATACAGATAGGTACATCAGAAGATATACATTTGAACAACATGAGAAAAACACTGTATGTGAAAACAGATTGTCACTGGTTATCTTTAAAGACAATTGAATTGAAGCTTGTGTTTTGAGTCAGAAAAGATATTGTTTCCTTCGATATCGTATGTAAAGATGCTAGCTAGCATTTAGCATGAAATTCTTGAGATTTGAGAATCTGGGAGCGATGACTAATTGATGTTGAATAAGTTGATTTCCATGGAAAAAATATATAGTTGACACTTGACAGTGAGCAGCTGTTTTCCACTTATACGACGTAAGAAGAAATTGATGGCACAATACACACGACATAAACATAGAAAACATGACATGAGCAAAGTAGTGTTAACACCTTGACAGCTACAAAACAGCTTGAAAGAAACATAACAGTGTAACAGAGCCTCGGTGGATGAATGAAACCGCACTCAATAAGAGAATTTTTTTAATGGGTAAATTACCCTCACAGTTTGAGCAAATTACACACATATATAGATCATTAAATCTAAACTCATTTGCGGCTGATATTAAAGTAACTCATTTGAGTGTGAAAAGTCAATACTATCTTTATATTTTAATAAGGATAAATTACAATTATCTCCTTTAAAATTTGAACAAATTACACGCACATAAAACGTTTGACCTTTATTACTTTGACATTCCTTAAAAATGTGAAATGTCTTTAATACCCTTATCTAATTTAATAATAGTTCAATAAAAAAATTCTATTAAACCACCAGACTCTATTACCCTTTTATTGATTTATTTTTTCCATCTTATAAACACTATATTACTCTACCTAAATTTTATTTTTTATTTTTTAAAAAATAAAACTTAATCAAACCTTAAAAAGAAACCTAATCAAATGTCATTAACAAAAAAATAATATTTTTGAAAAATTTAATAATATAAAATTGATATTTTTCATTTCAATTACATTTCATGTATTTTTGTAATTTTATGTCAAAATAAAAGGGTTTTGAAGTCTTTTAACACAAGAAAAGGGGCAATTTTGTTATTTTTTTTTTAATTTTTATTAATGACATGGGGTGTCGTTAAGTACACGTGGCAGATCTCAGGAGAAATCAAAATAATAAAGGTCAAACGTTCTATCCGTGTATGATTTGTTTAAACTTTGAGAGAAGTCGGTATAATTTACTATGTTAATAATATATTATATTGCATTTTATTTCAAAAAGGATAAAAATATAATTTTATAAAATCTGATTAACAGATCTACCGAAAAAAAAATGCTAGGAGTTTTATTGAGCCCAAACATCAAATTTTTTTTTATAAAAAAATCAAAATAATAAATGCCTAATGATCATGTAATTTAAAGGTGATTAGTGTAATTTACCAAAATCTTTTATCTTTAATACTGCTATGGACTTGGGTACACCCCAAAACAGTGCACCAAATTGATGGGCAATACCAATCGAAAAAAATTGATGGGCAATAATTGAGACAGTGTTCATTGCAATTGATATATATTTTAGCTTTTTCAAGTGGATTTGCATCAAAAGCATTGCGGATATCATCATTTGACTTCAAGCGAGCAGTCGCTTTCAAATTAATGCCTTGTCAAATTTCACAAAATTTCTTCAACCAAATTATTTTAAAATATGGGGTATAATAGAACTCTTTTACAACGCATACCTTTCTGGAAAATGGCAAATATAAGAACCTAATATTGACCACGAAAAAAAAGGTATCACTTTCAATTATTAATGGCACCCCATAAATCTGGAAGTATTTTATTTTGGTGGCAATTTAAAATTCATAATATTAATATAAACGAAATATATTTAAGTAAGCAACATATAGTACAGAAATAGTAGCTTCAGATATAAAGTCTTATATAGAAATAGATACAGGAAGTGACAGTTCAATGGATTTAAAAATAGAAAATGTGTACTGTTGTAAGGTTTTCTTTCATGGTTCAATGGTTATAAATTTTTTGTGGATGGTTCAATTCACCTGGACCACGGGGAAGGACGAAGGAGGACAAGTTTGTTGTCTTTTAGCCAATTAGCCAAATCTTATCACTCTGTGATTAGTAATGAACTTTTAAATAATCATATGGACGGTGGGTAATGTGGGACCTTATCAAATATCTAAAATTAAATTTAAATATCAACTTGAAATGACAATGTGAACCATGTAGTTACCTAGTACCTACCACCCCAGCTCCACTTTAAAATTTTCTAACTTCATTTAAAATATCCCCTTTTTTCTGTTTTTTTTTTAAATTCCAACATAAATTAATTATAAATCTATGAAAATCAGTCCTCAAATTTTTATTTTAAAAAATCTAACAATTTTCTGGTATGATTTTGTAATTCATAATTTTTTATGGTGGTCACATACCCATCTACTATCAAATATAATTTATGGCTCAATAATCTTTAGAAATTTCTATTACTATAAAAATTTACATTCACTTTATAAAAATAAAAAAATGAAAAAAACACTCTTACACACTTATCTGATTTTGAATATGACTACCAACATACGAAATGTACGAATATTGTACAATTTTCTCTTCAAATCTATGATTAAAAAAAAGTTAAATTGTAAAACAAAAATATATATTTAAAAATATATAGAATTATTATAGTGTAAATATTTTATTTCTATTACTGATATATGCATGTGAAATGACCACTGCTATTTGCCCATGCCTAAGCATTTTTACTGACTATACTTTTCATATTATATGGTGTGAAAAGCTTTTCTATAGTGTAAATATTATTATTCTTATAAAATAACATAGTTAGGCTGGTTGTATTAAACCGAAAAAACAAATCTTATCCATTCGTATGTGTGTATTATTATATAGAAAATGTACGAGGAAGGCACTCATCTTTATCCGTTAGATTGAATGTCGTGCTTTTAATCGACGGATGAGAACGCGAGCTCAAAATGAGATCAGTGATCACCTTCTCCGTATCGCTGCTCTACACATGTTAGTGTCAGGCAGCTTTGGTCCGCCTGATGAAGGGCGTGTAGGCCCTGATCTTACAAGTTTCTGTTACAACTGAAAGTATCTTAGTATTATTGTTTTCTTTCACTTCTCCGCTTCAGTCGTCGCGTTTGTCCACAGCTGATCCACTGCATCCTATCCTCCCCTCCCCTCTCTCTCTAAAGCTTTCTCTCTCTAAAACTCTCCCTCTTCTGACTTCATTTTCCGTCTAATTCAATGTCTATCTCCTCCTCCAACACATCCATGTATGGTGATATTATCTTCTCTGCAACTTCATGGCGTCTTCTTATGTATGGTGATATTATATTTTTTTTCATATAATTTCTAGCTCTTTCCACGGTTCCCCTCTCTATACATACATATATATATATATATATATATCAGACTTTCTCTCTTTTAACAGTCTATGTGATGGATAGTCGGACAGCTTTATCAGATTCAATGGATTTCAGTGGAAGCAGTAGCATATGCTGTGCTGCCAACACCTCCGAAACAATATCCCCTGAAATTTCAGCTCCAGAGATAGCTGCTCTGAATCGGCTCTCTGTAAATCTCGAATCAATCTTCGAATCGTCGCAGGACTTGGACTTCTTCGCCGACGCAAAGATTGGAGTCTCTGACGGCCGAGAAGTCGCGGTCCATCGGTGCGTTTTATCGGCGCGGAGTCCTTTTTTCAAGAATGTGTTTGCCTGTAAAGAGAGAGGAGTGAACTTAGAGTTGAAGGAATTGGCGAAAGAGTTTGATGTTAGCTTCGATGCGTTGGTTTCGGTTTTGGCCTATTTGTATAGCGGGAAGGTCAAACCATTGCCGGAAGGTGTTTGTGTTTGTGTGGATGAGGAGTGTCGGCATGTCGCGTGCCGGCCGGCGGTGGATTTTATGGTTGAGGTGCTCTATGCATCTTTTGTATTCGAGATATCTGAATTGGTTTCTCTATATGAGGTAAAAACTTTGCTTAATTTAATAACTTCTGATTAAACACTCTGTTCTTCATTTAATGGTATATGTGGACTATTACTCCGTAATTAGTAGTTAAAAGTCATTTTTAAGTATGAGCTCAAGGCATTGAATTAAGGTGTTTGTGTTTGTGTTTGTGTAGATGTGGAGTAATTGTTTCTTTGCAACAAATTGATGTAAAAGATATTTGCATGATGATTCATTATATTCAGTTAAGGCATTGTTTTACAATTTCATAAATAGAGTAATGCTCTCAAAAGAGCTCTCTCCTGAGGAGAGCCATGAGCACTCCATATTTAACCACTCGATTAAGACAAGATATTGAGATCTGGGAAAATTCAAACGAATCATTTATATACTTTTCCTGCTTTTGGAAGCAAAAATTGTGTTGATTTTTATACTAATAGAGTAACTCAAAAAATATTATCAGATTGTTACAACCTTCGAATCAAGTGAATTTTAAACTTGGATCTGTTCTATGTAAATGATAAGCCCAAAATTATTAACAAGGATCCCGATTTTTCCTGGTTAAAATTATTAACGTTTAAGATGTATCGATGTATATGGTAAGAACAACTTTTCCTGTGAGATTCTTCATTCGCTAAACTTTTTATGTCGATCAAGTTAAAGCATGCTATAGAAGGAAGTTGAGCTTTACTATCTTGGAATACTAATATATAATGCTTGATTCATCAGAAAACCCTGTAACTTTTTATCTTCATACTTAGGCTGCCAGATTGTCTTGTGATCTTCAAAGATTATGTGCATGTATGCATAAGATAAGAAGCTGCTTCTCTGGACAACATCAAATTAGGAAAGCACAGTAAATAAGCATGCATGCCCATGACTGTTGTATCATTAACTTGGGATCTAATAGTTAAACTTATCTGCCCAACTGGCTCAACGATTATGTGGGAGTCCTATTTACTATGAAGAGCTCAGAAAGCTGAGCTCCAGTTCGGCTCGAATTACTCATGCTCAGGCTCAGCCCATGAGTTTGTGAAATTGGCAAGTTCTTGCGCCTATACGAACATATAAGAACTGCTAGTTCATGAGCCTATATGAGTTGAGCCAAACATTGTTTGGACTCCACTCGTTTAAATAAGTCAGTAAGTCATGATCTCAAGCTATATGATTAATAGACAAACATGAGCTGAGCTTTAAACAACCTGTGCACAAGCTGTTCATGACCATATTGCTTCATTTGCAAAACCTAATTACGGCTTATAGAGTGAACAACATCTGTTTCAGTTCCTGCATTGCCACTGGTTCTTTTTAAAATATCTAATTGACTCTTATGTTTCCTTGCAGAGGCATCTACTAGACATTCTCAACAACATTGCAGCAGATGACATTTTGGTGGTTTTATCTGTTGCAAATACGTGCAGTAAAGTGTGTGAGAGATTGCTTGTGAGGTGCATTGAGAATATAGTCAGATCTGATATTGACGTGGTAACTATGGATAAAGCATTGCCCCAGCATATTGTAAAACAAATTGTGGATTCACGTATGCAAATTGGCTTGCACGAGCCTGAAAGCAACAGCTTTCCTGACAAGCACGTGAAAAGAATACATAGGGCCCTGGATTCTGACGACGTTAAATTAGTTGAAATGCTTCTAGAAGAGGGACATACTACTCTTGATGATGCACATGCACTCCATTATGCTGTGGCTTATTGTGATGCAAAGACAACAACAGAGCTTCTTGATCTCTCACTAGCCGATGTTAACCGCAGAAATCCAAGGGGCTACACTGTGCTTCATGTTGCTGCATTACGGAAAGAGCCTAATATTCTAGTATCCCTTCTAACAAAGGGAGCCCAACCATCTGATCTCACAACAGATGGCAGAAAAGCACTTCATATCTCAAAGAGGCTAACAAGGGCTGTTGATTATTTTAAGTCCATTGGGGAAGGAGAAGATTCCCCCAAGGAGCGCTTGTGCATTGAAGTTTTGGAGCAAGCAGAAAGAGATCCACTTCTAGGAGAAGCTGCTTTTTCTCTTGCTGTGGCAGGGGAGGATTTGCGTATGAAGCTGTTGTACCTTGAAAATAGAGGTGTGTTATCCAGTTGAAACCAAATTTCTTTACTTTTCTATGGCTATGTGTATTTCCTTTCCTTCTTCTGCACAGTATGGTTTATTACTGTTCAATCACTTTGGGATTTCTAATTACTTACATTTGATCGTCCACTTTTGACTTGCACTAATTTGTTCTGTTATAAGAAACTTCATCCCTCACTTCCCTTTGTTCACTTACTTTTGATAATAGTAAATACTTGTGATTGATATTACTGCATTTTATTTTTTTAATTTCTATGTAATATATTTCTCTATTTTTCTAATTTCCATACTTTCTGTGATGCAAAAAGCAATACCCAAATAATCAACGTAATGTCCCTAGTGTGACCATATTTAAGACTAACATGGAAAAAGATCTAATGTATAATATTTTTTTGTTTTAGCATGATTGTCCTATCAACCACTCATTCACATTGAAATTCATTCACAGGGCCATACACAATGGATTACTATTTCTTCGTTTCCAGTTGAAGAGCTGACACTGGATAAAATAAGAACATGGAGTTTCCCTTAGAATGAATTGATTTCACAATTCCTTTTGAAAGGGCTACTATAATTCTAATCCTATTGGCTTAGTGAGAATTATATGTTCCGGTACTCGGACACGGTCCATTTGATTGACCTAGAAAGCCCTTTTATGCAGTTCTGATTAGTTTTCAAGTTGATGTTTACAGACATATTTGCTTAATATCTTTGAGTTTACTTATGTTTTTGCCCATATCTATCCAGTGCAAATCGCCACGTGAGATTTTCTTCCACTTTAGACCACCCATAAGGTCTGGGAGATTTATTCCAATTCTTTTACACCATTATGGTCTCTAATGTTTTTGTTCATATCCAAGTGATAATATGATTATATAAGTGGAGCGTCATGGCATCTAGTGTAACTTCTTCCACATAGTGTCGCATCTTATTACGTCCTATTGATTTTAATATCTCAGTGGTCAACATGTGCCTGCTGCTTACACCGACAAGTTCCCTTAAGAACACAAAGGTCACAGGCTGACTCATATGTAATGCATAAGTTTGCATATATTCAACTGCCCTGTTCTATACCAAACATTAAACAAGGACAATTAATTTCTCTCTCCAGCTGGTTGCAACAGAATGGAGCAACTGTGCATGTGTAGCTACTGTTCATTTCTAAATATGAGCAACAATAAGTTCTCCAGGTTCAAATTTATATGTTTTGCCTCCATCTTTAAATCCTAATAAACCTCCATAATTAAAGGATGCTTTACTGATACAGAATAAACAACTTTTGCTTGAGCCATTAATTGTCTTCATTCTAAAACCTCTGCTTCATTGTTGTTTCATAATCCCCTTGCGGGTAAGTGTGATTTATGGTTCTTTCTTTTCCCAACAGAGTCAGATGCTTTAGTAAATAAGAACTATGATAGGAAATTTGGGGAATTACTGACCTTGACAGTAGGGATAGTTGATCTTGTTTTCATTGTGGTGGATGATGGACTGTTTCTTTCTAAGTAGAATCCACAGTAAATTCAATATCTTCAGTATTTTTCCGAGCATCACAAATGAATGAATTGTTTTACAGTTATTTATTGTTAAATATAATATTGATTATTTAACTATTTTATCATGATGGTGATCGAATTGGTTGATTGACCCTTACCAGTTGGACTGGCGAAAATGCTGTTCCCCGTGGAGGCAAAAGTCGCGATGGACATCGCTCAAGTAGATGGAACTTCTGAGTTTACGATAGCTGGCATAAACTCTAAGAACCTGGCTGGTAACGGGGTGGACTTGAATGAGTCATTTTTCAAGATCAAAGAAGAGCATCTAAATAGGCTAAGAGCCCTCTCCAAGACAGGTACTGATGTTATAATTTTGTCCACCTGTATGTTCTAATTCTTTTGCATTAATTCCCACATGAAAGCTTCACAGTTGACACTATACGTGACATAACTGGCAACACGTCTTTGAAATGGATCCTATTTATCAAAAAAAAAAAAAAAAAAAATGCTTTGAAATGGATCTTGAAGCTTTTCCGTCTTTAATTCCAACAACTTGATTTCATCTGGAATATCTGAAGACAGCTCAGCTGGAGAAGTTTGAGGGCCTAATCTGCGAAAATTCCATTTTTCTACACATTGTTTTTTCCATGAAGTGATTTTAAAGATGTCAAAATTTTAAGTTCTGAACTATGACAGATATTCGATTGTGACAAATTATTCTACAACTATAAATGTCCCCGATGATTGAAGTATCAAAACTTACACATGCATGTCACACAAATGGAGTATATATCTATGTATATGTGATTATGTAGTTGATCCAAAATAACTTCTTTCCTTTTTTTTGAAATAAAGTGGTCGTGAATTTGTTGTACAATTATCATTTTTCACCACTTCTGCAAAATATTGAATCTCTGAGTGAGCATGACTTCATCGCATGCTTTATTTTAAGAAATGAGAATTTCGTAACACAATCTTCAATATTGCTTAAACATTTTGAAATAATTGTCTCTTTTTCCACGAGCAGTGCAACTTGGGAAACGCTACTTTCCTCGCTGTTCAGAAGTACTAAACAAGATAATGGATGCTGATGACATAACAGAGCTAGCTTGCGTACACAATGACACCCCAGAGCAGCGACGATTGAAGAGGCAAAGGTTCATGGAACTCCAAGACGTTCTTAGTAAGGCGTTTACCCAGGATAAAGAGGAATATGACAGGTCTAACAACATATCATCTTCATCGTCCTCGACATCCATTGGAGGGGTGAAGCGTAATGATAGATTCGCCTTCAAGAAATAGACGCTCAGATATGAGAGATGCAGAAAAGCATCTTCTTGTTGTTGTATCATATATATCAACTTCTTTTTCTTTATCTTTTTAATTCAGCTTTTAGAAATGAATTTTGTACAATAAATTTTTATTTATTTTTCGTTAAACCATAACATTGATTGTCCCATTAATTACACAATGCAGAACATTGGATTTTTCTATCTTTTGTTGTATTTTACTGATGATTTTGATTCATTGTTTTTTTATCGGCTAACATTTGAGAGAAAGTATTATAGTAAAAATTTGTAGCAACATTGGTCCATGATTAATTGTTTTTTATACTAGACTGTTTTTTTCTCTTCTTAAGGTGTGTTTTATACCAGACTTGTTTTTTACATTACAATTTTTGAAGTGAAATTAGCGCCAGAATCGTAGAACAGTAGAAAGTAGAGAATTCTTAAATGGGCTTGAGTCTTGACTTTCTAATGTGCGCTTATCATTGCTTGCTTAGTTGGTGAAAGATTAGAATTTCTGACATGTTTGAGTTTGAGAAGAGGCTACATATGTAATAGGAAAATGATGAATAGTCATCAATGGACACTAATTGCGTGGTTGAATGTTCAAACCTCGGTAGAAGCATAATATATACAGTGAGTATTTATTTGCTTTAACTTTTGGGAAAAAAAAAAAAAAACAAAACAAAAGCTTAATAATATTACATTATATTTCCTGTATCCATTTTTTTTTCCTTTGTTATTTCCTTTTTCCTGTTTTTTCTCTTCCGTTGGTTTAAAATTCGTGGACGTGAACTTTACAGTCAAGGAGCTTATCCTAATGACTATGATTACACTTGTGCCTTGCTTGTTTAGGAAACAAAATTGGATCTCAAATCCCTTTAGTCACATCCTACACTTACCCAGAAGACCCACTAACCACATATAATATTAGCAGTATCATGATTAGTCCAATGCGTGGCGCGATTTCAATCACAGATGGATTAGTTCGAACATTCTAGTAAAAGATGTAACATCATTTAGCTTCACAGACTTATTTTATTAAGGAAATTAGACACATGAGATCATGGCACTTTGTTAAGTGTTCAGGGAACACAAACCAATCATGTCTCAAATGAAAGACACGAGTGTTAACTACCAGAAAGTTGTATAGCCACTCCTATTTCTCAATAACGTCATGGCATTCCCAGTGAAAAAATTATTAATTGGCTGGGAATACATAATTTCAATCAATCACACCAAAAGGTTAAATCGAGGCTCTGTTGAAGAAGAGCACTGCAGATTGCAATAACATGGCATCAAAAAGAAGTGCTTGTTCTCATTAGTGTTAAATATCAAACAACATGGACTCATATATAAGCAGCAGCAGTATATATGAGAACAAACTGTGATCATAACTTCTATGCCAAACACTAATTTGTACATACTGAGTGCTAATCCTAAAACCCAAAAAACACAAAAACTGAACAAAAAAGGAGGGGAGATGGGAAGAATAAACATTGGCAACATTACAGCTTGACAAGTTGTTGCTCCCACTCATTCGTGTTGTGTTATATATGTGTAAGTAACTCTCTCTGTTTGATCCATTTGCATCTATTCTTCTGCATCCTGCTGCAGCAAAACAAGTCCTATAAATATATATATATATATACACACACATTGCAACACTCAATTTAGTACTTGAAACAAATCATGTATATATATATACTATGCATAACAAAAGCATAAAATTGAGTAGTACTACTCATGGTTCATGAAATGAAAAAACGGACAAGAAGATTATACCATTGAGTTTAGGACTTTGCTTCGAGACAACCAGCTTGCTCCACCAGTTGTTCCACATAACCTCCCCAATCGAGCGGCTTCGCGATCAAATCCTCCAATTCAAGGACAATCTTGGAGTGATACTGAGCTAGCTCTCCTGCTGCATTCTCACAAATCACATCATCTTCCAGTAATTTCTCCCACACTAAGAAATTCTCAGAATTCAAATTCAAATTCAAATCTGGATGACTTATTCCAGAAACTGTATCAGCCTTTCGGTTCTTAATAGGAGGACTACTTGATTGATCATCATCCACTGAAGGAGAGAACAGTGTCTGAATATCTGATTCAATAGTAGCCAATTCTTCTTGATTTTGGTTGCTGCAATTGACAATCTTCACACCCTCCATAGAGTTTCCGGTGCTTGAAGGCGCGACCAGTCTCCGTTTCTTCAATATTTCACCACTACCCAGTTCTCTCCTCTGCCTCAGCTGCTGAATGAACTGCTCGAGGAATTTTGGGTTGAATGCTTTGGCCACAAACATGGCCATTTGTTGTTGCTTCCGTTCAGTACCTTGAAGGCGCTCTTTGACGGTAGCCAAATGATTGTCTATGTTCTCTTGCTGCTGTGTCAGCTTTAGGAATTCAACCTTCAATGTGTTTTGATCATTTCTCAGTTTTTCTATCTCCAACTCTGATTCAAATTTCACTGAATCCACCAAATGTTGTGCTCCTGTTGCTCTTGGTTGTTGCATGGTTTGAGAAGGTTTGTTCCTTCTCTTGATCTTCTTTAGTAAATGCCTTTTCCCTCCTTCAAACCCTTCATTTGCAAATTCCCATCGGTCCGAATCAATTTTTCTGAAACCCTTCAAAAATTAAACCACAAAACAACCATCATATATACATGCAACGTCTATGCAAGCAAATACTAGCAAAACCCATATATAATAACGTACCCTAATAATCACTGAACAAAAATTACAAAAAATTCATTCCCGCATTAACATAACCAAGCAACACCCATGAACAACACAGAGATATACCAACAAAATCCATACAAAATAAACCCCAAATTCAAAGGGTAAAGTTCAAATTAATTTATGAGAGAAATTAAACTATGAATGAAGAACGGATCAATAATTATGGGCAAAAAAATGGTAATAAAATAAATGTAGAAATGATGATTACATAGGTGTTGAGTTGGCGAACGAAGCTTGAGAAATTGCTGTGCTTGAAGTGTTTGGGAAGAAGATCGCTGGAGAACTTGTGAGAATCCCAAACAATGAAGCTCTTGCGACTGTGACTCCATGATATGATGGAGTCCGTTTCTGGGTTCTCCACCATCTCAAAGGTCTTCCTCAAGAAGGGAGGTGGACCCATTTCGTGTAAGCCTTCCATCGGTTTCGGTAAAGACAAGAAAGAACCACCATCACCATCACCATCACCACCACCACCAAAATCACCACTCTCAACTCCCCAATCGTCTTCATCTATCAGAATCACCAACTCTTCTTTAATTTTCACATCTTCCGGTACTTCCCTCTTCTCCTCACTAGAACCTCCTCCTCCTCCTCCTCCTATTCCGCCGCCGCCGCCGCCGCAAACATCACTGTCATCATCAATCACCACAATTTCCTCCTCTTTAATTGTTATTGCTTCCATCAATGTTATATAAACAGAGATTCGAGAAAGAGTTTTCCAACCGACTGATCTCTACAGTGATTATAGAAATGGAAATTTCACAGAGAGGAAAAAAAGAGGGGTTTGTATATACGTCTATTGTGTATTGTGTGTGTGTGTGTGACTGTGTATATAGACTATAGAGTGAGGGGGTATAAGGGATGGCCAAATATGGAAGGAGATGTGTCACCCAATAATACCGACTGTTTCGCTATTTGTAGAGGCTTTGCAATTTCTTTAATTTTTTTTTTTTTTATTTTGTTTTTAAAATTTTTTTTTTTCTATTGCGATTACTGGTTTAACTTATTCCAGAGAAAATATGTTGGAGAAAGGTGTACATAGTTGTTTAAAAGTTGTACATATTTTCTGGTAGAAGTCAGCGCTTCTCTGGCAATAGAAAAACCCTATTTAATTATTTATAATATGAACACTTGTCTCCTGTCCCCACATAATCCCAGTCCCTTAACTTTCTGGAAACTTCTGCATGACCCCCCTGGCTTTTGTGTATTAAAAATAATAATTTTCTTTCTACCCTGTGGGGACCACATATTTTTGTGAAATATTGTTCCACATATTTTGGTTCCAATTGTCAAATATTGTTTTTAACTTGCCTAAGAAATAACAACCCTCTACGATAATAAATATTAAATTTGAGTCTGTCTAACAAATTTTTGTTTTTTAAAAACTGAACATGGGAAAATATTGTGAATTTTTTTTGGTTATTTTTTTTTCTTTTTTTAATAAGAGTAAATATCTTCTAAAAAACAGCTTTTCAAGTGTTTTTTTTTTTTTTTAATTTATAAAAATCTATTAACAATTGATTTATCTCTCCCTTTTCACGTATTTATGTTTCATTTTATATTTTTATCCATTAGAGTTATTATCGAATCAATCAACTTGTTTTCTTCCCTTGATATGCATTGATGCACCGATTACCTTCATATAATATCATGTGCATGCAAACAGTATGACTACCAAAAATTACAGCCACTACACACACATGTTTATTTACCTTAGTCCTAAACAAGGAATATATTCTCCTGACTGCCAATTGGCATCATTGATTATATACATAAATATTGACAAAAAAAAAAAAAGATCATATATATATATATATATATATATATTACTTCTGTACTCTGAATGTGCAAAAGTTCAATGCATCGGGACGTTGTTGTCGGTTAGCCATCGGCATGCATGCCACGTCTCACAAGAGCTACACCAATTGTTTGGTGGCGTCACTGCTCAATGCGGTAGCGCCGAGCACCACATCAGGTGTTACACGGGGGAACGGCGAAATGGCCCAATGGAATATTGCCACGTTGACACATCAGGTGTTACATAAGGTGGGCGAGCATGCATGGGATGACTTGGCTTTTTCTTTCTCCTCACGCTTCTCAACTTCTGTTGTGCAAAAGGGTCCCTTCAGTCAAAATGCCGACGACGACGAGGAGGAGGTGTGGACTGCTGTCTCCTTGTTTACCAGACACGCAGGACTTCAACGTGGCAATGTTAGTCGGACTTGGTTTGCCACGTACCAGCCATGCAGTAATATTTCAGACACCCACCCAATTCCATTTGAAAGTTTACTAAAGTAATGAGAGAAAAATATTTGGACAACTCAAAAGAATCGTCACGCACCACTTTGAATTTTTAACAGATAAAATGAAACATCACCCCCTTAAAGGTGGTTTATTTAATAATGCTTTTGAGACATCGCATTTGTTAGAATGCTTCATTTTTATGTATATTATATTTTTTAAAAATAAGAAAGTGAAATGGGATAATATTTCATACATTTAAAAGAAGGAAAGAGTAGTCGGTAAAATACGGTACGTAAGATAGACACGGAAACAAACTAGTATAATTTGATTTTTTTTTTTAAACTACATTTAAAAATTTTGGCAAAAAAATTGAAAATATAAAAATACAAATATATATACGTACATATATAATACATTATACACACTAAAAATTCGAGATAAAAAATTTAACTATACATATCTTATTATTTTTCTTATATATCATATATCTGTAAAAATAATAAATTAAACATATTCCGATTTAGACTATCACAAAAATCATAAAAGAAATAAACTATCTAAATATAATTAATCAATAACTATAAATACATAACGTATATATTTATAATAAATACATATAATAAATATATAAGTATATGGTGCAATACCTGTGAGTTGTAAAATACTAAAACATATAGTGAGTGTGATGATTTACAAATTTTTAGAAAAATATATAATAATAAATAAAGATATTAATAAAATTTAAAAGATCTCAAAACAAAATATAATAAATAAAATAAAATTAGAGTGCATTGGAGTGACAATGATGAGAGATTTAGAAATAATAAAAAAAAAATATGAGTGATAATATACTAGAACTACTGATTAAAGTGTGTTTGAGAACATACACTGTTAGAAATGTGAAGCAAAAGAATAAACAAGTAGGTTATTCAAAAGTATAGATTACCAAAACGTATTAAAATAAATAAACGCGAACAGAGTAATGAAAAAAAAAAAGCATAGCATCTTTTAACTCTGAACGGTACTAACTAGGGAAAGACATCCAATGTTTTTTCTTCTGTACATGAAAGAATCTCATTTTGCAAGTAACAAAGACAATCATAAATCAATCTAGAAGACAAAAAGGCAAATTCTGAATAACGAACCTAAGAACAAAAGGCAAAGGCAAATTCTTTAGAACAAAACAATCTTCAAAAACCCTTGGAATATAATTATTTAAAAACGAAGGGCAGTTATCTGAACTAAGACTTTCTTTACATTAGTTTTAACGTAACAATTTTCCAAAAACAAAAAAACCATCCACAAATTCTCAAACCGTTATCATTTTTTCAGTTCCCTAAAAAATAAAAACCTATTCTCTAAAAACTATATATATATACATATATATATTCAACAAAACTGAACCACTTTGGGACTTTTTGCTTTCTTATTTGACATACTAAAGACACAGCACACCGCTTCACTTTTGGAACTCTTCTTTGACTTCACGAAGAAAACTTCCCAGGACTTTAGAACTTGATATCTTTGCCTTTCGGATTCCGAATCAAGTGATTCTTGCATCCATCTTTGTTAATTTTTTATTGTCGTTCCAATGGTGTGCCAAACAGATCCCAGAGATGTAACGTGCTACATAACTATCCGACACATGATTTGGAATTGACAGTAGTTATCTTTGCCCTGAAAGGGTAGAGACATTATTTGTACGGGGAGAAGTTTGAGGTTTTCTCCGATCACCATGAAGTGCCCCGACTTCTAGTTCATGTTCTCCCTAAGTTACGGGAAAATGCGTGTGTGTGAGTTTGGTGATCAGCATCCATCGCAAAGATGAATGAGGAAGAGAGTACATTAATGCAAAAATTTATTCCTCCATTTTTGTGAAGATGAATGTAAAAATAATAGACGAGAGTTTCTCATGAGGATAAATAAATAAGGTAAAAGGAGATGGCAATAGGAATACCAAAGTTGTAACAGACAAAAGCATAAACCAGCATAATATATACAGTACCATGAATCAACACACTAGGACGATGTTATCTCCGCTCACAACATATGTACATCTCGGGCCTACAGCCTTATCTTTTTCAAGTTGTATCGAATCGACCTACCAAGAACCTTTGGTCATTGGGTTCCTAGCCACCATGATTAAACCACAGTCCACAGCCCTAATGGAGGAAGGGCATACCATTTTGGCAACCAAGCCGTAAATCCGCTGCCAGCTTAGTACAGAGAACATGAAATCAGAAGAAAGATGTCAGCTTTTTTAGAGGGAGATTTTTTTCACCTGTAATGAATTTATAAATGCAGCTTCATAATTCGCTTACATCGCCAAAATTAAATCCAGGAGGAACCATTTAGCAATTATATGTCAGCCGCTAAGCAATGAAAAGCATCAAAAAGCTGTTATTAACCTAATAAGATAAAACAATTACATTTCCAACACAAATAAAAGATACCTGGCAGATTGCTGCTGGAAAAAAGTGAAAAGCGTGACAGATTTTGCCACTGTAGGACACAATTCACCATCACATTGTCTCCCTTCATTGCTTTGCTTTACTACCACGGTCATATAAGAAATCCAGAATCGTTTATGTTCTCGTTCATTTACTTTGTGGGCATCCAGTTTCCATACTAAGGTCAGTTTTGACAGAAAGGGCATCAAGGGGATGCTGCATCTTGATTCCAGACTCGAACTTTGCTGCGAATGCTAATGTTGACAGAAGTGCCCTCTGAGTTGAGCTTGGTGTGTTTGACAGGAACGACTTCTGAGCTGAGTTTGGTGTGTTTGACAGGAGTGCCTTCTTAGCTGAGTTTGGAGTGTTTGACATTATTGCCTTCTTAGCTGAGCTTGATGTGTTTGAGATGAGTGCCTTCTGAGCTGAACTTTGTGCGTCTCTGCCATGCACGTCTGCAAGTCCATCTAGTGATTGACCTGAAGGAAGTGAAGAAGATGACAGCCTCCATGGCATTGTACTGGAAAATTGAAGTTTATCAGATGCATTTCGTCTCTCTTGAACAGATGATGAAACACCATAATTCCCGTTAAAACACAAGCTCGATTGCTTGTTATTACTGAAATTTTCTGATGGAGCTTTGCCAAACGAGAGAAAGTTTGTTCCCATGGATGCTCCTGTAGGTGTTCTTTTTGGCATCTCCTTAAAATGTTGTACCACGTCTGATGCATTTTGCCTGTTCTGATTCCCTTCTTTAACAGCATCACCCAGATTTGAATATGATCCAGCTTGCTTATCCTTGCTGAAATTACCTAGGAGTGATTTTCCAATACCATTATCCCCATCAGAAGGCAAGCTAGCTGATTTATTACTACCGGAATCATCTGAAAGAGTTTTGCCAAATGACAGAAAGTTTATTCCTTTTGGTGCCAAGCGAGCTGTGCTCTTTGTGATCTCATTTGAGTTTCCAACCCTGTGTGATACAGTTTGAATTGTCTGACTGCCAACTTTGAAACCGTCCTCTACCTTTGCAGATGAGCCAGTTTGATAATACTTATTGGTATCACCTACTGATGATTTCCCGAACAAAAGAGAATTCACTCCTTTAGATGCCTGCAAAGCATGTTTTACAGTCTGCGCTACCGTCTGTTCATTTTTATTCCGAGGGGAAACTTCAATGGAGCAGGAATTGGCATTAACATTCTGAAGAGAGGTACCATGGATGTTCAGTTGCTTCTTAGGATTTATATTAGCCGGTAAGCATACAGACTTCAACTCAGGCTTGGAAACATTTGAAGCAACTGGGAAACCTTCCTTGAGTGGCATCTGAGGGAAATACAAGTCAGACAAACAAGCAAAATATACAGCCTCTCAAACCAGAAAAAATTATATTGACAGACTTACCTCATGTGAAAACATGCAATCAGCACCTCTGCTGCAATAACCATTGGACACATAATTGTTGCACGGATACTTAGAAAGTTGATGATCAAATGGGCAGTCCTCTCCTTTCATGCACATGTGACGTGCAAAATGGCAGCAAGGCTGCAACACGAAAAAACCATGAGTTATATACATTATCATATATGTGTAACACAGAAAAATATAGCCCTTTTTATCTTGCTACTTGCAAGAGAAACAAAAGCATGATGTAAAATGATATGATTTTGCTTGTGTCATATGATCTATAAACCATGAACAATAAAAAGACAGGAAAGAAATATTTGCATGTAATGGGGAAGTTTCAAGCCCCTTTCATGTGATGAAACCTGGAATGAGTCTTATGGTTTATATCGGACGGTTTATATCGGACAGGATGTCAGGAACCGGTGTTCCCAGATCTTTAACAATCAATTCCAACACTTCAGCAATATAAAGGCTGATTTGCTATTAAAAAAACACTGACTAATACTCTTTTGTCAAATGGTCTATCATGTTATTAATTATTGAATTGGGATGTGACTACAGCTGCGGGTAAACAATAATTAGTAGAAGTACTATAGTGGAACAATTAATCAGAATGAAAAATAGATAGCTATTACTGCTAAACCAGCATTACTTGGTGGAAATCAATGGATGACTTAACTAATCAGAATAAAATGCAATTACTGGAACTACAAGAGAGCATCAGCGACCAAGTCAGATTATTATACCTTGGATTTTGTCAACGGTATTGTATCATGTGAAAATTTGCACTTGTCAGCCTGTAAAAACAGAAAGAAAAATTAGAATCATCAGTTCTAAGCAATTAAAACTTCCATCTAAAAATCAACCCAGAATAATGGAGTGTAGAACACCATACAACCTCGTGGCATCGTCCCTTGAGGTAATGACGGCAATAAGTTACTGTTTTTGGCTTTGACACCGGTTGCAGTTTCAACCTTTTCACCCCAAGCTTTCTGTTCATCTCTGCTCGTTTAATTCTTTTTCTTTGCTGCAGAGTGGAATAGTAGTTAGCCAAATTGTTAAAAAAAAAAGAAAAAAAGATAGTATAGATTTATATTGTACACGGTGAAGACCTAACAAGGACCTTGTTACAAAAGTGTCCATGCTAATAACTAAATATTCAAATGTTCACCAAAGTACTAAAATTCATTAGACATAAAGCATCTTTTCACCATAGAAAAAAATAATAATAATAAAAAAAAAAAAAATTTTAAAAAAAAAAAAAATTCACATGTTCACTAAAACAATATGGTATTAGAGGAAACAAACAAAACCTTTTTCTTTTCCCTCCTTTCCTTCGTCAGAGAACCTCGCTTTTTCTTATTTCCAACACCAGCATCCTGCCAAGATGATCAACATTAAGTACAAATCAAATGCAAAAGGCAGGCTATGCCTAGTGTACAAGGAACATTTAATGATCTTGTCATCTTCAAAACACTATGAATTGTTAGAGGATATGAACAAATAAAATTAAACCTTCTCTAAAACCTTAACTTTTGGTGTAGGCATTCAAGGTCCTGAGTTCGAACATCAATAGCCTCGCGATGATTATAATTGATGCATGTTTTGGTCCACTTATGATGAAGGGTCTGGCTACACTTGCAGAGGCATGCTAGAGGATATATATAAATTTAGTTAAACTTCTTAAAAAGCCAAAGCTGTTGGTGTAGCTGGTGTTTATAATGCATATATAGATACATACATATACATAATTATGAATACAAATATATATATATATATATATATATATATATATATATATATATATATACATATTTCTGAAAACAATAAAGAAACTTCCCTGATTATCCTAAGTAACTGCAACTCTAAAAAGATGTTTTTTCACCTGCTATTTAAGCATTACATTTTTTTCCCTGCTGACTTAAATGTATATTAAAAGTAAAATCCAACATTTTCTTTTTCTTTTTTATTTTTTATCATTAAGCCCAGTGATAGTACCTTAGCAAGTTTGGTGAGGGACAGGATTTGCGGGTTGTGAGTTTTGAGACCCCCCAAAAAAAATAGTTTCAGATATATACCCCCTTTTTCATGCTTTTCTTCTTGGGACGTGGTGGTAGTGGGACAAGAGAAGTGAAAGTAATGGTCGACCGATGCCAGGCCATTTCAGAAGATTGATGACAATGTTCCGTGTGCACACATACACTTGTCTATGTGTTTTGGAGCATGGACATGCTCACATCAAATAAAAAGAGGGGTGTGTGTGTACCAGTAGCACTTGTCCTGGTTTTGATTGGTCATCAAGTAACTGCATCTTCAAGGTAACTAACATATTGCTTGGAATGCAAAAGCAGCAACAAACCCTAAATTTTTTTGGTACTTAACACTCATGTCCATCATTAAACAAGTAACAGCGATCAAAAGTTCTCCTGTCAATAAACTGAACCACCATATACCTTAATAACTCCATAAACTTAGCAGATCGGAAAACTACAATTAAAAATAAATTCCACAGTATAAAACAAATAAAACATAATGACCATAGCAACTCAAACAACCACATTTTAATTGACCATGCCAAAAGATGCAGTAAGCCTGGTTCAAGATGTACTATTATGGACAATGCAAAAAATTATCTTAAAGCATAAGAACTCAAGGAAAATCACATATAAAAGTTATACCTGTTCTGCAGACATAGTAAGTTGATTTTCAGATTCATTTTCCCCTGAGATTTTGCCATGCAGTGTTAGATTCCCAAGACAAGCTGCTGGACAATCAGACTCCTTTGCACCAGTACCTCTCTTTTTTTCTTTTCCACTTTCTGGCATACAATCATTACCATCTGCCTTTTTCGCCTCTAAAGTTTTCCCACAAACAATCATTTCAGAGTTACACTTCATCTCTATGCAATTGACATCTCTCGGTTCTACTTCCATACTGTTACCTGCATCATTAACGGTGTCCACAAAATCGGTACTAGACTTGGTATCATTCTCATTTGCTCCCTCCTGTTCTTCAAAAATGTAATCTTCCTTATTAAGAGTGTCTTTAGAAGAATGATCCCCATTTACCTTCTTGGCCTCTAATGGTACAGCATCATCAAGCAACAAATCCATCGATTCATCATAAATCCCAAAGTCCCCTGAAATTTCTCCTTCTTCAACCTCTTTATCTGAAGTTATACAGAGGGAAGAATTCATCACAGCACAACTTAATACTGATTCATTCAGTTCCATCTCTTTCTGCTGCATTTCATGCTCAACTTCTTCCACCACATTCCTCTCAACAGGGGAAATTTTTTCTTCACCAGTCTTATACAGTACTGAAGATTCAGCAGCTATATCTATGTCTAAAGAAGAGTCAAGGGCTCTGTTAACCTTGCAACTATAATGTTCCTTGTCTAGTTCTAGTTGTCCCTCATTTCCCGATTCGTCCAGGAGTATCTCTTCAAGATCAAAATAATCTTTGTGGTTATTTGTCAATGCAACGTCGCCAATGGGGTTCCTTTCTTCTAATGATTCTGTGGGATAAATACCATTCGTGTAAATGAATCCCTCGTTTCCTTTTGTTCTTTTTACATGTTCTAATTCATCTATTTCCATTTGAGCCTGATTAAAAAACTCGGACTCCAAACTATGACCAGTCAATTCATCATGCACTTGGTGTTCAGTGGCTTGTAGCGATTCGATTATACCATTACCTACAACAGCAAGAACAAATTTAGATCTAAAAATAGCAGAAAACAATAATAATTAAAAAGAAAGCAAAGATTTACAGTTTCCATTCAACTCCAGCCTCTCTTTTTTTTTTTTCTTTTTTTTTTTAATTCACTCCATATAAAGAAATCAAAATTCTACAGAACAAATAACAAGACATTGCAATAATTGTGGGAATTCAACTATCCAATTTGCCGGACAATAAGAAAAAATAAATAGACAATCATATGCGTCAAAACCCGTTTAATTTTAATTTTAAATTTTTTTTTTTATTTTCAGGGAAGGCATCTCGCAACCTAAGACATTGGGTGCGAATGCTGTACTACTTTTTCCCTAGTCAATTTTCTCTGGAACCAAACAGATATATGATTACCTCGTGCTGACTCATCTGGAACGACGTGATTGGCATGAGAAGGTTGAGAATCATCGTAGCAATGAGAGAAGATTCGAACAAGTGTACTGTAAGTTTCGCTCCGTAAGTGTCTTCTGCGATGAGAAGAGAAATTGAAAGAGGTTTGAGAGGGTTTTAGGGTTTCGAATTCAGATTGCTCCATTGGTAGGGATTCAAGGTCAACGAGACCTTCCAATTCAAACAGGATAGTTTAATACCTTCTTGAAATTGAGAATGATAAACGAGATATGATACCAACTATAAAGCACCCACGCTTCTGTTACGGTGCATTGTGGAATCCTCATACGTATGAACTATGAAATGACAATATAAATATAATAAGATAATAATATAAATATAATAAGTGAAAAATAATTTTTTTGTTTAATTACACTGACTTGTGACCACTTTCAACATTAATTTTTTTTTTTTTTTTTTTAGTAAAATCGTGTTTGGCCCTACTTTACAATGCATTTTTTTTTAATCCAAACACACATAAAAAAAAATTATACATGAAATGACTAAAACACCCATAAATAATAATTCAAACAATCCACCCCTCACCCACGCGCCCCAACCTTTTTCTCCACCCGTCAAAGGCATCAGATGATCAACTCTCACTCACTCACAACTTTCGTTTCAATATCTCTTCTCTCTCTCCAAAAAACTTCTCAAATGCCAAAGCTTTTGAAGAATGAACGATTCTAGTTCTTCAGCCTCTTTCAATATGGGATTCCATTTAGATCATCTAATTCCATTCTCGCCCAACCTATGTTTGATTCCTCAACAAAAGTCAACAATTTCAGAGGGGTATTCAAATTTGCAACTCAATACTTGATCAAAGTGTAAAAATAATGGTGGATATGTACGTGGAGAATGAGGAAACGGGCACAATCATCTCGGTCTTCAAAAGCTTGGTCACATATGTTAGTTTGAACTTTGGAGAGAGAGAGAGAGATGCATTTAGGAATTTTTTGTAATTTTATGCCCTTGTAATGTTAGTAATGTCATTCAACCGAATTGCTTCATCTCTTCCCCTTTTTCTCTCTGCTAAGTAAATGGTAATTCGATCAGTACATAAATATTTCTTGATGGTTTTAAACAGGGCGGAGTTAGGATTTTTATTGAGAGGGTATAATGCACTTGTTAAAATAAAAAATAAAAATTAATAAATATGGCAAATAGGAAGTATAATTTTTTTAAATCAAAAGGGTAAATAAGATAAAAATAGTTGTAAAATAATATGCTAAATAAATACTGTAAAAAAAATATAGTTACAAATATAAGAATCAAAATATTAATTAATAATATTTTAATTAAATACAATCACAAATGTCATCCATAAAAATAAATAAGTTTAAAAAATAGAAAAATACATAATTAAACATAAGTGGAAAAAGAAATTTTTTGAAAAAGGAAACAAAAATTAGAAAAGAAAAAATATATTGTATACTTGAAGAAGGATATATATAACTTCTTCTTTTTTTTTTCAAAAGGAAATTAGAAAAATTTGAAAATTTGAGGGGGGACACTGTTTAAAATTACCATGTAAATATATGTATATACCAAAAATATGTACTTATGTATAGTAAGTTGGAGCAAAGTGAAGGGGGGCACGTGCCCCTCTGGGCCTTAATTAGCTCCACCCTTGGTTTTAAAGGCTAGTTGAGGAGGGGTAGTTTGACTTAGAGGGGTTATTAAGCACATGCACTAAATCTGAGGAAATATTAGCATTCGTTTGGTTGGAGAAATTGAAAACTAGATGGGAAAGAATAGGAGGATTGTGACGTCCATGTTGTCTGGGAACAAAATTGTTGAGATTTATACGTGCAGACATCCTTAATCCTTAATCGTTGTCCTCTTTTTTATATATTCGTAAATATATATTTTCTTTCACTTCTCTTTTTTTCAATCTTCTTCCAAACATGAAATGTATATTTGGAAACTAAGAGGGAATATCAAGAGAAGTTGCCTTTTATTGGATCTCTCTTATCGACATAGAAATTTACTCTCATTTCGAATTTACTCTCATTTCTTAATCAATAATATAATCTCAACGACATGCATCTCTCTCATCAACATATGTTAGTGTTTTATCGGATTGGTCATCGATCAACTTCAATGGATCAAATTGCGGACTGATATCAGATCGGTCGTTGATATACTTTAATGGTTGATTTTCGGTTGATTTCGGATTGGTTGTCGACTGATTTCAATGGTTAATTTTGCGCTGATTTCGAATTAGTTGTTGACCATCTTCAATGGTTGATATAGTCTTTAATGTTGTTTAACATTAATTGCCTTCAATGTCAATTTTTTGATGCAAAGCTTGAGTTGTTTGAGAAAATTGTGTTAGCAAGTTCAAGCAAATCAATTTTTAATATTATTTTTACTCCGTATTTTTTTAAATGGGAATAAAATGTCCATTCATCTTGTTAGAAAGTGGAATAATTTTTATAGAATGACCATTCTCCGATAAAGATGGATAATGGGCCTTCCATCTTTAAAATTACTTTCCAAACAAATGAATGTAATTAAAAACATTTCATTCCACTTTATTTCATTCCATTCCCACCTACCAAATTAGCTATGAGAAGAAGGTAAGCAAAACAAACAGTATTTACATGGTGCAGGCGAGAGTGTGTACAAGCCCACGCGACTCAGGCTAGTAAGGACAGTGGGTCTTAAACACGTAGACGCATTTTGAAAGAAACCGTGAGCATCGAAGAAAATACTGTATAAGCGAACAGTATCTACATGGTACGAAGTGAGTCATAACGTGAATGGATAGATGAGGCATGGAAATGTGTCTCCATTACTTTTTGTTTGGTTCCATACTCATTTAGTAAACGAGCGGATCTAGAACAATGTTGAGTTCAATTCGTATAGACTTATGAATTTGAACATGTGTAGGTCATTTACGTGAACATAAGCTCGTATATGTTCGTAAATATGGACTCGTTACATGACTCATTTATTTTTATTTCTATTTTTTATTAAAATTCTTTAATCTTTGAAACATGTAAAAAAATATAACAATCTAATAAACAAGTCCGAATCAATTTTAAACATGATTTTAATTTGTTTTCTTAAACAAGACTAACCCGATCTTTTTAAAATCATGACGAGTTGGAGCTCGAACTCTATATTTTGAATTTGTCGCAAGTTAGAGCTAAGTTACGAACAAACAAGTTTTTGACTCGGCTTGGCTCGAATCCATTCATTTTTAGCTCCAAGTAGAAATGAGGATACAATTTTTTTTTTACTTTATTGTTAGGAGGGGGTGGTAGTTTTTTATATATATGTTTTTTATCAACATGTCCTTGTATGCATGTGAGAGAAGTCCTTGTATGCGCATGCGAGAGATTTTCAGTAAAGTATAACAGTTGATTTGGTAATTAATTAAAGATTAAAATTGATATTACATGAATTAAATAATTTTTCTTTATTTTCCTCTTTTGTTTTTACCCGATATTTTTAAGGATCAAAGATTTTCCCAAAAACATGGATTAGGCCATCTCTTCCCCTTTTTCCAAACATGGAAATTTTTTTCTTTTCCTCCCCTATTCCAACCTGGAAAAAAAAGAAATAAATAATTAAATCGGAGAGGATCCATTCTAAAAAAGAAACGGAGTAATTTCCCGAATAAAAGAAAAAGAAAAAGGAAATGTAGTAATATTCTGACCATGTGAGGAAAAAAGAAATTCATTTTAATTGTGTCGGACAGCATAAAAAAAATCTGTGCTGCCAAACACGGTCTATATATAATAGTGAAGATCCAGGTACTAGGTTTTAGAGAGTAATTTAAGTTGAGGCGCTAATCCCTTCAACCTCTGTCTCTTTCCTTACATTGCCCACCGTTCTAGGGTTTTTGTTCTTTCTGCAGGTTTGTGTTTTTTCGGTATTCTCCAATAATGAGTAACAACAAGGATAATCTCAACATGTCCGATCTCAAAGCTGGTAAATCACTAAAACCCCAAACAAAAACCCAAAAAATGATTTTGTGTTCGCTAAGTGTATATACTATATAGTCATGATACAGAATCATAATCTAACCATTTTTGTTCCTGAATGTGCGTAGGACTGAATGCTGAGGATCGAGAAGACCTAATTAATGCTCTGAAAGTGCGTTCTTTATTCCACTGATCAACTTTTTTTGTTTCCTAGTTTTGTTTTTGTTCTTCTTTGTAGGTTAGTGTTAGATTGGGAGCTTTATGATATAAGGGTTTATACATTTTGTGCAGGATAAGCTTGAGGATCTTGTTTCCCATGAGGTGATCGAAAAATTATCTCCAAAGGTCAGGAAGCGAGTCGAGGTTCTCAGAGAGATCCAGGTATTTTATTTCTACCAAGTCCTATATATAATTATATATTTGTGTGTTTGTGTATATGCATCTATATTTATTTGTGCTTATTGTCTGAACATAATTACTGAGTTGTTTGGATGCAAATAAGATTATCTTAAACTAAGGGGGAAAAAAAGATTGTCTTACGGGTTTGAGTAATGCTGTTTCATCTGATTGGCTTTGTAGTGGTGAATTCTATATGGTTGTGCGAATTTGATTAAGAATTTTTTTTTTATGTAATATTGATTTCTCACGCTGTATGTTTTTAAAGGTCATTTAGAGGATTGATAAGAGTTGACTTGGCATTAGTGGATGTTTGGTGTGTTGTACTCGATTTTGATGCATTTTTGTAATTGGGTGTTGTCATTGTATACCTCATAGCATCGTTCTCTGATCGAGTGTTATTTGTTTGATTTCAAATGACATGAAAACTGTATTGATGTAGTGTTGTTTGTTTGTTAAACCCTATCTTTGCTTGGCACAAATTCCTCAACATCCATGTCCACGGAGTATTAGAGATGTATTAGCGATCTCAAGTACAGTTGAGTGTTAGTGCTCCTCATCACTTGTACGTTTAAGATGGAATAGCTTAACTTAGGTTCTTCTTTTTCTTTGGATGGGTTCTCTCATGCCATAATTTTTACCCCCTCTCTCCCTGGGCTAATCAAGTTCTGCTAAATGTTCCATTCGGGTTTCTACCATGATTATCTTAAGCATTCGAGGAGGCTTGTTGTTGTTGTTCTGTATATCACTGTCATCACATATCTTTGCCATTTTACTTTCTTCTGATTGTTTCTTAGGCCTTTCACTGTTGCAAAACTGCTTGCCTAGGGAACAAAAAGAAGTGAACATTGTTTCTTGAAATCTTAAACCCTCTAACCCTTTCTCATTCACAGAGACAACATGATGAATTAGAGGCAAAATTTTTTGAGGAGAGGACGGCACTTGAAGCTAAGTATCAAAAACTCTATCAACCACTATACACTAAGGTATCACATGACACTGAATGTTTGTTTTAATTGTAATGAGGCATTTTTAATTTTATTTTTCTCCTTTCTAATTCTTATTAAACACTTGCAGCGATACGAAATTGTGAACGGAGTTGTCGAAGTTGAAGGTGTCACAAATGATGAAACTGCAGACAAAGGAGAGGATGAAGCTGAAGGAGGTATCCTCTGGCATTAGGACTCTGCTATTACGTTTCAAGCCTCTGTACCTTATATTACCTTTTTTCTATGCAGGGAAAGGGGTGCCTGATTTTTGGTTCACTGCAATGAAGACTAATGATGTGCTATCTGAGGAGGTTAGTAATTTGGGACTGCCAGCTACTTCAATATATTTGGTGTTTTTCTATGGATTTCTGGTTTTAATAAATCTTTCATGTTTTATGTCGAGTCAGATTACCGAGCGCGATGTAGAAGCTCTCAAGTTTCTCAAAGATATCAAGTGGAGTAGGATAGATAATCCCAAGGGTTTCAAGCTTGAATTTTATTTTGCCACCAATCCTTACTTCACGAACTCTGTTCTTACTAAGACATATCACATGATCGATGAAGATGAACCTATTCTAGAGAAAGCAGTAGGGTAAGTTTGCGGAGGTCTAATTGTGGTTTCTTAATCTTGAATTGGAATAGGCTTCTGTGCATAATTTATCAATTTCTCTAATGAAACTATTCCTCCTACCTTGTAGGACGGAGATTGAATGGTGTCCAGGGAAATGCCTGACACGGAAGCTCCTTAAAAAGAAGCCTAAGAAGGGTTCAAAGAATGCAAAACCAATCACTAAAACCGAAAACTGTGAAAGTTTTTTCAACTTCTTTAGTCCACCACAAGTCCCCGAGGATAATGAAGATATTGAGGATGATGATGTAAGTCTATCGTCACTGCATCCTGTGAGATTTGTTTATTGTTTGCTTGTTTTTATTTTGTTTTGTTTCAACTCTGGAACAGGCTGAAGAACTTCAAAATCTTATGGAACAAGATTACGACATTGGGTAAGTTATATTTATTTAGCTATTTTATGTCTTAAATTTGGCTCTTTAACAGTATGTTTGTAATTTCATACTGAAATATTGAGTAAAACAATGTTTTCATTTACTTGTACTACTACCATTACTACTGAAGTTTATTTTTGCTTTTTGTAGGTCAACCATTCGAGATAAAATTATTCCTCATGCTGTGTCGTGGTTCACTGGGGAGGCTGCTGAGGATGAGATTACTGATGATGATGATGAAGACGACAATGAAGATGATGATGATGATGATGACGACGACGAAGATGATGATGAAGAGGATGACGACGAGGATGATGAAGATGACGAGGAGGAGGAGGATGCCGATGAAAGGAAGACGACGAAGAAGGTAATGAAGAGTGGAAGAGCTCAGATTGGGGATCCTTCAGAGTGCAAGCAGCAGTAGCTTTTAATTGCAATGGCAAGGTTTGCAGTTGGGCGTGGAGTTGTTGATGGATGATTGAAAGGAATTTTTTGCTCAGAGTCAGTGTGTGCGTGATGAAGATTTGAGTTTCTAGAATAGGAATGGGAGTTGGGGGTGAGCGATCAGTTTTGGGTGTTACTTTCGTTCAGAATTATTTATTAGTCATAATTGAGCGATCAGTTTTGGGTATTACTTTCCGTTCATTATATATTCAGAATTATTTATTAGTTATAAGAGTCCCTCTTCATTTTTTGGTTTTGCGAATGTGTTCTAGTAGATAGTTGGAGATGTTCCATGATTTGTCAGGTGGATTCTGATGCAAATTGAAACTTATGGTGTGTATACCTATATTTTGTGAGCGTGTTCCATTCTTCTTTGGTCTTTCTGGCCTTTTTTGAAATTTTCATTTATCAAGAAATTCATGAAATCTCAAAAACTTTTTTTTTTTTTTTTTATGGTTTAAAAAATCTCAAAAACTTGGTACTTTATTTTGAAAGCATTCTTCAGTTGTTTCTCTCTCGATCTCGATTCCTACGTACTGGGGAAAGTAGTATACAATATTTATTTGGGTATTTACATCGATTAATAATTGCATCCTGGGCAGCGACGTGGCCTTCTTCCCTGCTGACACCTATCCAAAATTAAAAAAATAATAAAAACATAGGTAATGCCATTTGTACGGGTTAAACCCGTTTCTCCCTTCTCTCTCAATACCTCTCCAAATGCGAAGCCAAAGGCATTCAGATATATAAATGTTATGCAACAAAAAAAAAGAAATCTATGTGTATGTATACATATATATATATATTGAGATTCTGGTGAACCACCACCAACCAGCCGTTCGTCTTCTTCGGCAAAGAAAAACACCAAATTGAGACTTTTTCTTCATGAGTCCAACTGTTTCTTCTCTTTTAAATCCTTAATTTGGCAAATTTTGACTAATCCATTTGATTTGATCACTACTTTTACATTCTCCAAATGCGAAGCCAAAGGCATTCAGATATATAAATGTTATGCAACAAAAAAAAAAGAAATCTATGTGTATGTATATATATATATATAGAGAGATTCTGGTGAACCACCACCGACCAGCCGTTCGTCTTCTTCGGCAAAGAAAAACGCCAAATTGAGACTTTTTCTTCATGAGTCCAACTGTTTCTTCTCTTTTAAATCCTTAATTTGGCAAATTTTGACTAATCCATTTGATTTGATCACTACTTTTACATTGTCAGAGACGCAACACAACAATATAATTTGTTCTGTCAAACAATTAACACTCTCATTCACAATCCTACACTCAACAACAGTACGATACAACTGGTGATTTCAACGCCACTTGGGAACATAGAAACAACAGTTTGGAATTTGGGGTTTGCGATGGTGGGTAAGGGGTTGAGGTGGGTGGCGGTGATGGTGAAGGTGGTGGGTGGTTGACGTCTTGAAGATGGGTTAGTCCATGGTTGCGGAATGGTTAGAATATGACTTTGTCCTTTACGCTTTAATCGCACAAGCTCTAGTATCCAAAGACGGATATGAGAAAGAACATTCGTATTTAGTTATGAATTTGGGGGAAAATTATATATGTCTGTAATAATTTATTTATTTATTATTATTATTATTATTTTTTTTTTGAGAAATTGAAGATCTGGGTTTGATTTTTTGGACAACCCAGGTCTTTCGAACGCACCAACAATGGCGTGTGTTTGGCAGGAGTTCAGGTCCGGCCGGACATTGAAACAAGTTATTTGGAGGAGTTTCTAACTCAGTGGTGGAGAAGTGAGATGATAATGGTGGTGGTGGTGGTGGTGGTGGTAGAGTTGGAGGTGGTGGTTCTGATATTCCAGCGAAGAGTAGGATAAAAGGGAGAAACGGGTTTAACCTTCACAAATGGGTATTACCCAAGTTTTATTTTTTAATTTTGGACAGGTGTCAACAGAAAGAAAGGCCGCGTCAGCAGGGTGGATGAACAGGATGCAAGTGTTACTCATTTACATATGATAAGCAGTTGTGAAAACTCTCCGTTTGCCACTCTAAGGCCCCAAAAAAAATATATATATGTTAAAAGAAAATGACTCAAAATTTGTTGGTTGGGTCACTCGGTATATCAGGGGAGAAGGTACTCAATTGGGTGGCATTCACACTTAATTCATACATACTCAATTATTTCTCTATGTAGTATGTGTGGGGACAAAAATCTCTATTGCAATTGAGAAATTATTTCAAAGAAAAAAAAAATTAAATCAAATTGCAAGTTATTGTTAAATTTATTTATTTACAATTTTCTAATCATCTGATAACAAGTTTTTAAACTATTTAGTTGCTGACTTGTATGATAAAATTGAAAATTATGTATTAAAATTTTTAACTAGTAATTAAAAAATAAATATCTTTTAAAATTTTTAATATTCAATGATAAATTTATTTATCAAACAGCACCAAAATGTTAACTTGAGATGCTTTAAATTTCTACTTTTCTAAATTGTTCTTTTAAGTTTTATTTTTTTTTTTTAAATTTTGTTTTCAGTTTGTTTTGATATAAAACATTTAATAGGGAATGTATTCAACAAAATAATTCTCTGGTGCTTATTTTATTTTTTAGGTATTTTAGTTTTGGATTTCAAAGTAGAAGTTAGAATTCGAATCTCCCAAAAGAGTATTGTGGAGTTATTTGTTAGGAACAAAGTAATATATAATAATTATATTAATAATAATAATAGACTTGTGTTTTGTGGAAATATGACTCTATAAAAATAAAATGACATATATCCCATTGAATTATAGTGCATTTATACGTATATATACTTATGTATATATGTAGGTGTATATATACTCATATTTTTTCACTCTATCCATATAGCATTTTTTTCTTCTTCCGTATAACAATTGACCTAATTTAAAAATGAATGTATTCTCTTTTACATCAATCAAATTCTAAAAATATTTTTTAATTTCTTATGTAATTATTTTTACAATAAAAAATAATGTATTGGGTAAAAGTTGGGTCAAACAAATGAGGGAATAAAAATGAAGGGTGAACCTGATATTAAAAAAAATAAAATAAAATAAATAAATAACAAAACATGGCCTCTTAATTTCATTCCGCATCTAAACACCTGCTATTATACTACTAGTAGTAATTCTTTAATTTCATTCCGCATCCGCAACAAATGTTCAAAAAGGAGGGAAAAACCTTAAACCCTAAAAAACCAGTACTCTCTCCTTCTCTCTCTAATCTATACATATCTCCAGAGGCGTTTGGCCGGTGAGGGGTTTCAAAACCTTTCACAGACTCCAATGGCGAGGATGCTTCTTCGAAACGCTTCTTCTTCACTGAAACAGTCTCTATTTTCAACTGAGGTAATCGTTTTCACACCAACCCTTTTATCGTTTTTAATGCTTTTTTCTTTTAGTGGGTACTACGATTATCATTTTCTTGCTACTCCTCGAGCTCGCTTTTGCTTTTTTGGAATTTTATTTTCTCTAAAAAAGAAAAATGAAAAGTACTTGATCAAAACATGGCTTAGTTTGTTACGCGGTTTTCAGACGCTTAAACTGATGGAGTCAATTTCTCTCTCATTGATATTAAATTTATATGCAATGATCTTACCGTGTTGTTTGGATAGCTTTTATGGGATTAATCAGATTTAGAGTGAGCCAACCCCGTTCACATGGGATTGAGGCAAGGATGAAGATAGATGATGATGAATCAGACTTAGAGCTAGAAAATTAGTTTGTTCCTATCAAAATTTGATTTTTTATTTCTATTTTTTTGGTAGGTAAGTTATTCACACACACGCCCACCATTGCCTTTAATCCTCAACCTTCCATTTGGAAGGAGGAGGGAAATACCCCAGTAGTTAAAGGGTAGTTCAGAAATCGAATTTTAGATTTTATTTTCAATTTAGTACCATTTTTAAGACTAAAATATTGGTTCCTCATGCCTCTTTTACAACTGCATATTATCCATTCACTATCAATTATTAAGATAAATTAGAATGAAAGGTACTGTACACCATGTGATATCAGTCAAACAACTAATTTGAACTTTGTTCGTTAAGTGTTGTTATGCTCTCGGATCGTTAATTTAGTATGACAAATTTGCTCAGCTGTTTTTGGTTGCAGGGGAATAGAGTTTTGTGCCAGCAATGTCAAAAATGAACTCAGTCACAAGCCAAACCTATAAAATTGAAAAACGCAAAGAAAATAAGATTCAAAAATTTGAGAGGAGAGAAAACATGAAACACCAACAATTGTGGTGTTTATGGGTTGTTCATGCTTTCTGTTACATGCAACTACTTATTGCTGATCTTTAGAATGAGAAAAAGATGCTAAGACGGTTTATCCTTTTATGAGTATAAAATTGTTCCTTACTTTTTTACTGTTAGTTTTGCAGGGTATTAGAAAAGGAGCATTAGGGACATCCTTCCAGTTGTGCAACTTTTCTGCTAAAGGTGCTGTTCCTCAAATGACGACCCCCTCCCCCCCACCCCCCACCCAAAGATCTGATTTACTTGCTTAACTGACTTGCATGATGTAAAATTACTTGTATCTTGTGTGCGCTCATGTATCACAAGGCATATCTAACAAGATACATTTTGTATGGGAGGAAGTTCATTGTTTAATGTTGGAAACAAAATGTGTATGTAACTCGTTCAATCTGCACTTGTTATGAGCTAATGATATTCTTATCTTAATTCCATCTTTTTTGAAGCTAAAAAGAAATCAAAGTCGGATGGAAGTGATTCAATTGACGAGAATATGTCCAAGAAAGATCAGGCCCTACAGCTAGCATTGGATCAGATCACTGCCGCATTTGGAAAAGGATCTATCATGTGGCTTGGCCGGTCTGCCTCTCCTAAACAAGTTCCAGTGGTGTCAACAGGATCTTTTGCTTTGGATATTGCATTGGGAATTGGTGGTGTTCCGAAGGTATCTTGTAATCTTTGGAGTGCATCTGATTTTTCATTTTCCATGCCACAAATTTTCATATAACAAGTACTAGGAGAATCTTTTTATTGACTAAGATTTTATTTTTTATCTAAATCATTCCATTCAATATTTATTCTTATGTAACAAGCGTTGGACAGAAGTTTTTGGTGGCACAACTTCTTGTTTGCAATATTTGGGGTGTTTTTTTTTCCCTTCAAGTCATAGCTTTGTTTGCTTTGGTCACAAGGCATATTCCATTTTATGTACAACTCTCCGATATATCCATCACTGATATTTTTGTTGATTAGCATTAGTGCATTTTCTTTCAAATAAAATAAGTTTGTACAAATGTAACCCACCCGTTGAAAGAAATTTTAATATTTTTGTTCTTGGAGTGTAAATTGCAAATGTGTCCGGTGATTATATTTTGGAATATTTGCAGGTTTTGCTTTACTTGTTATCTTCCTTCTCTTTTCCCTATATGGTCACCAAAAACTGATAATTCGTAATGTATGTTACACATATTTCATTACTCTTCTGAAAATGTATTATTGCTAGTTTAATTATCATTCATAAAGCCCCATTTTCACCATTTGGGGGTTCAACAATTCCCAGCTTGTCAATGTCCATTTCTTTAAATTATATTTCAATTCTTGCTATGTTATACTTGGGCATGCCCTACATGCATATAAAAATTGATGCATACACACCCTTACAATAGATGGTGAGAGAGAGAACCTTGTCCTCATTGCTGTCTGCTATCTTTGCTGCTTATGCATTTCCTCAATTGGATTCTTGCAGGGACGTGTTGTGGAGATATATGGTCCAGAGGCTTCTGGGAAAACAACGCTTGCCTTACATATAATTGCCCAAGCACAAAAGCAAGGAGGTTACTCCTAGAAATCCCTAGAAGAGTGCCTTTTCTTCTCTTATTGCATCTGTCATATCAATTAGGAGAAAGCATGCATTGGTTATTATTATATGTATCTAATGCACTAATAAAACAATATTTAGTTGTATTTTCTATGGAAGATGGGTTGGTATTTGTGGTTGTAAAGGACATGCTGGTAGTATTTCCTATCTTTTGGATGTGATCTTGGGAGGCTCATATCCAATTTAATCAACTGATATCTGGATTCTCTAGAAAAAGACTAATGTATACCCATCACATTCACAGGTTTCTGGTTCATGATTTCATAAATATAATTGTGAAAAACAAATTGGAAGTTGGAATCTTGTGCAAATTTTTTAATTGACTATCCTCAAATTATTTTTTTCAATTTTTTCTGAGAAGTTTTTGGAATTGTGGTGGATTTTAGCATCAGCTTCTTCTAGGGTTAATATATATTTTCTCTTTCTTTTTGTAGGTTACTGTGTTTTTGTTGATGCTGAGCATGCTCTTGATCCAACACTGGCTGAATCTATTGGGGTAAACACTAAAAATTTGCTTCTCTCGCAACCAGATTGTGGTGAACAAGCTCTTAGTCTTGTAGATACCCTTATCCGGAGTGGGTCGGTTGACGTTGTTGTTGTGGACAGTGTAAGTAAGATGTTTTACTGATCAAATATCTTGTAGATACCCTTGTTGTGAAGATCTTTTTCGAAAGAGCCTTTTGTTTTTATGCTGCTGTGCAGTACATATATAGATTTAACACTCAACGTGATGGGTTAAAGTATGAACCAGATGATTCATGCTGTCTGATTTGAGTCGATTTATTGACTGAAAATTCATACCCCAATTTTGGATCTTCTATGCTTATGAATTTTTTTTTTTCTTTCTAATTTGACTGGCAGGTAGCTGCCCTTGTGCCTAAAGGTGAACTTGATGGTGAGATGGGTGATGCGCACATGGCAATGCAAGCTAGACTGATGAGCCAGGCACTTCGCAAATTGAGCCACTCCTTATCTATGTCTCAAACTATTCTGATCTTTATAAATCAGGTATCAGTATTACAAATTTGATTCCATTCTGTGATCCGTATAACTTCATGAACTTCATTCTAATTGCCCTAAACTATCTGTTCAACTGCTTCGGAGAAGGTTTTTGAACATTCTTTGCTAACTCATGATTGTAATGGTAGCAATGTCAGCTTTCTAAAGTCTCTTTAGTCAACCTTTCCAAGTGATTCCAGCATGGCCAGGAAAATTATTCCTTTCTTTTTTGTATAGGATTTTTGGCATTTTGTCCTACCTTGGTCCTTGACATGTAGTTTGGATTCCATCCTAGTATTATCAAGTTTAGAGTCTAGATCGAACTATCTTCTCCTTGATAATATTTTCTATTATTATTTTTTTGTTTACAAAACTTCATATGGATGTACGTTTAGGGACTTTAACCTGGGTTAGCACCGTGGGAAGATATTATGATACCACGTGAGATACACTTGGTTTCTTTGTTGCTGTGAGAAAGGATGGTTCTCTTTCTGTCTCTTGCTTTTTTTGGTGAAAGAAAAGGGGTGGTTTAACTGACATAACAATCTACTTTTTTGTTTAACTGAGATTAAAGTAAAATTAATTAATTATAATGCAAACCAAGTTGCTGATTTATTTTCTGACTTTTTAGCCTTATCTTATCTCTTTACATAATATATATTATCATATGTTTATAAGATAATGAAGAACATCACATGTATGGACACTGTTATTTGGACATGCTCTCCTTCTCATGAGTTCACTACTAAGACTGCTTGGGACTTTATTAAACCTCATTCTCCTAAAGTTCCTCGGTCACGTTTGCCTTGGTTTAAGGGTCATGTTCCAAGGTTCTATTTATTTTATATCTGGCCATTCTTACCAGATTGCCTACTCAAGACAGGTTACTTAGTCATGGATGCATTGCTAGTGCTTCTTCTACTTTCTGTGCCAGCCAAGTTGAAGACCACAATCACCTGTTTTTTGAGTGCTACTTTCCTTGCTGTATATGTCATCAAATCAGATCCAAATGTGGTCTTTCTGCCTCGTATTCCTCTTGGAGTTTTTGGGTTTCTTGAGCTCTACTCAGTTTAAAGGCAGTTCTTTTCATTCCACTCTCTGCAAATTGGCTCTCTCTTCTACAGTTTTACCATATTTGGATTGAGAGGAATTGTAGACAGTTTGCTAATTCTGCTAAAGACCCTTTTGCTATTACTAGGATGATTGAAGACTCTGTGAGGCTTATGCTGGCTAGTTTCAGAAGAGTTATTGCTTCTGATTTGAATAAGCACATTCAACTCAGCTGGAACTTACCTGCTGAATTTTTTAAACTCTATTTAGTTGAATGCCTTCTCTCATGCCTTCGTAAGTTTTTTTGGGGGCTGCTTTTTATGGTCGAGCTATTGGCTTCCAGTTTCCTTGATATAGAGGGTTGTTCAGTTTGGTTCTAGCTTTTCTTATGGCCTCTTAGTCTGGTCTCTTGTTACATGGACTCGGGTATGGGTGTCAGACACGGGTATGTATCTATGCGTCGGACGTGTCAAATCTCCAAACAGGACACATGGACACGGCTAAATATTAATTTTATTAATTATTTTGTTTTATTTTCTAGAGTAAAGTAATATTTTTATCTAATATAATGTTCAATATCGGCATTTAACTCATTTTTTAATAATAACATAATGTAATCAAATGATAAGATATGCTTTTTAAGTACATGTCCAACCAAAAGTGTTGGACACATATCCCATACTCATGTCCGAGGGATACGTGTCCGACACGGGTACTTCACTACTTTTGAAGAGTCCATGTAACAGAGGTGTGGTCTCTTGATTGTTTTGGGTTGATTCCCTGTTCATCTTTTTGTAGCAGCTTGCATCTCTCTTGGAGCTTTATTTTCCATTGTTCTCTGTTAATTCTTCCTTTAGGCTTTGTTGTGTAGCTTTTCTTTCTTGCTGCTTTGTTTCTAAGTTTCCTATGGGCTTGTTGTTTTCCAAACCTTTTGTTTTTGTGATTCTGGAGTGGTTGTGATCTTTCTTTGATTGTGGGGTATGCTCCATGCAACTCTGTAATGGGTTTGCGTCTTTAATATCATTCAGCTTGCTTATCAAAAAAAAAAAAAAATACACACACACACAAGATGTGAGTATCTATTTCATCATAAAATTTTCCTAATGTATTTTGATTTACTTTCAGGTGAGGGCAAAGCTGTCTACTTTTGGATTTGGTGGGCCAACTGAAGTTACTTGTGGTGGTAATGCCTTGAAGTTCTATGCTTCAATGCGTTTAAATATTAGGAGAACTGGGTTTGTCAAAAAGGGAGAAGAGGTATTAACCATCATTTTGTTAATTTAATTTTGGTCTTAGATCTGAAAACTGGGGTTTTGGGTATAGCACTCAAGGAATAATACAAATCAGTGATGGTGTATAATTTAATATCTGTTAGATCACATGAAACTTCATTAGCCAGCAGTGGACTTGCTTTTGCTTTCCTTGGTTGAATAGAAAGGCTTGGATCAGATTTTGAATACATTGATCTGGTTCATGTTGGCTTTAGAAAATTACTTCTGCATTCAAACATGTGTTTGTCGTTGTCGTCATCATCATCACACTCCTTGCCTTGTTCCTAATCGAATGGGATAACTGTTTGCCCTGTTCCTAATTGAATGGGATAACTAGGCAATGGGCATGAGCATATATTTTCTCTTGTGTGGGCTAGTCAAAATGATGCAAATTTTGTCTGCAAGGGCAGCAAAAGCGAAAATATAGTTTTCAAACAAAAGTACAGGATTCAGTATCACTCATAGGGGCCAATTGTATCATTCAAGTTTGACTTTGCCCTTATTAACATTGGACTGATTGCCAGCCCTTCATCTTTCTTGGCTGGAGATCTTTCCATTATTGTCATTCTTGCAGCTCAGTCTGCATTTAGTGCCAGTTGTTTTTCTCATTTACTAAGTCATAAATAAAATGGTTTAAATCATCTGATTATCACAATGATCTTACTACATTAATATTATATAGGGAGACATATTTGTGTTGGTTGATTTCTTTTATTTGATAGCCATGTTCTGAAAGAGGTTTCCTTGTAGGGCTCTAAGGTTTTCAGGTTTTCAAGTTTTTATTAATTGTGATTGGCATATGTGATTCATTTTTGTGTATCTGTTGCTCTCAATGCATTATATTTGATATTGTTCTGTTTACAGACTGTTGGAAGTGAAGTTCAAGTGAAGATTGTAAAGAACAAGCATGCCCCTCCTTTTAAAACTGCACAATTTGAGCTTGAGTTTGGCAAGGGGATATCTCAGGAGTCAGAACTCATAGAATTGGGAGTAAAACACAATCTTATCACTAAGGTTGGGGGTGGTCATTACAATATAGATGGTCATAGTATTCGAGGTAAGGATGCTTTTAAAGTGTATCTGGCCGAGAATGAAAATGTAAAAGAGGAACTTATGATGAAGCTCAGGGAGAAGTTGATTGATGGCAAGCCAGACAAGGAAACGGAGGATGAAACGGACGGAGAACCGGCAGAAGAGGTTACTTCATCGGAGACAACAGATGAAGATGTAACCACTGCTGTTGAGGCATAATGTAGTAAATGATCTCAAGATGTAAACAGAATTTACCTATTACATGGGCCTTTTTCAACGCTGCGATGAATCTGCCATTGCCTTGTGATAGTTGATTTTATGCACATAAATCAAATCAGTGAACACGAGTTGATGTACGCGCTGGAACGGCCTTCAATTTACAATCGCCTGCCATCGACACTAATGGTCAAGCATTAACGTTTCCAAATGTGAGCCTTGTAAGTTATATTAGCGATTTTATATATTATTGGTCATGTAGTAGTGAGTTAGAGTTTATGGGATAGTAAAGAAAGAGAATGCAGAACTTTTTTGATTTCCTGGAATCATCTCCATTGCTAATTACTCCTATAAAATCCCAGTCTGCATTTTTTGTATGTTAAAGAGACTGGTCTCGTATATGATATATCTTAGTAGTGGAAATACAGGGAAAAAGCGCCACAATATATTTTTTTATTTCTTCCATTGGGGTCGTTTTACAGGTACTTCATGTTGGAGCTTAAACTAGAGGTGTGTTAATTTGCCACACTGGTTCATGTGGTTCAGAACTGGTAAATTCCCTTGTCGCTAAACACAACTTCTTGCTTTCACTTGTTTTTAAAAAGAGCCACTTTGTTTTTGCTCTTCCATTCTTGTAAGACAATTCAACAATAATGGCGTGGCATGTGTGGCACAAGCAAGGAGTGGTTAAATATGTAACTTTAGTAGAGTGACGATCTCTTTTTGTTTAACCGTGAAATTGATATATTTATTTGATAATTCATTGATTTTTTACACATTTAAAAAAAATAAACTATTCCAATGTCTAAATAAGAAGAGTTAGTTAAATTAATTGGTTTCCTTCTACCATATGATTAGTTGGACTTGTTGGATGTTTTGGGAGCTCAAAATATTGAGGTACCTGGTAGGTGATGATCAATAGAAAGAATATTCATGGTCTTGAAAGAGCTAGATTTAGTCTTTTATTACTAGTGGTGACCATAGCGGTCAGAAAACGCCGCATTATAGTATATAATGCATTATAGTATTATACAGTCATACACACGTGTATATATATATATATATATGAGTAATAGAGAGGGAGAGAGAGATTCTAATCAAGAGAGTAAGAGAGAGAGACAGTAGTCTAAGTGTCTAATCTGTATATGAATAAGTATATGGTATTTGAATATGAAGCTATAGAAGTTACGTTGAGTTGGTAGATATAAAGATTGAAAAAAGGGACTTTTGTTTTTTTTGAAGTTGGACCAGCTTTGAATCAGTCCATCAAATCTTAATCTGTTAGTCTACGTTTGAATAGGCAGTCAATAAGGGCGACACATAAAGTCCAAGAATTATATGATCAAGGGTGCAGCGGCATACTATGATGGATGATGGTAATTCACCCCCGAATTGGTGGATTTCTCAATCACCAAAAGGGATCATATATTTTTGTATTGTGGGCATTGGTGTTAAATATATATATGGCTACCAAAATTTTGCAAAACAGGCACCTAAGTATTGAAACTCTTCCACAGTGTGATTATTCTATAATCGTCGATACAAAAATAGTGAACCACCATCAGCAGCGATGAGGTGCTGCACCATGAGATTTTTACCCCTAATGTATTCACATGTCAGAAAATGCATTGGCCCCACTGTTACTGTGCCAGGTCAGCAACAACTCTTCTTATGGCTTCTTGGAAGGCGGGCTCGTCCCAATCACTTCCCTACCAAAAACAAAATAAAAAGGAATAAGTTGAAAAAGAATCAGTAATCTTCTCACTTAATCAATATCACCACCTTCCTTCTAACTTCCTTTAATGGGACATGCATTAATTTAGACTAAAAAGATTAGATGAATAGAAACTTTCAGAAACTATGAATTTGAAATTAAAAAATCAAAGAGTAATGACTAGGCCTTATAATTTTTTCTTGAGAAAAGTTTCTATCAACGACTTGTACACAACGACTCATACAAATAATAAAATAAAATCAATACGCTAACACACGTACCGCACATACAATTTTTTGTATCATTAATTTCAAAATGCTTGGTTACTTTTAATATCATAAAAAGTGATTTTTCAAGAGATAATTAATAATTTTGTAACACTTACCACACATACAATTTTTTGTATCATTAATTTCAAAATGCTTAGTTACTTTTAATATCATAAAAAGTGATTTTTCAAGAGATAATTAATAATTTTGTAACAAAATACTACAAAAATGTTAGATATGAGAGGGAAAAGAAAGGGCACTTTTTAAGTACTAGTTTTTGGCAATTTAATTACTTAGTGAGGAGTTTGAGCTCCTTAATTTGTGAAATATGTGCGCGAGTGCTTACCTAACAAAAATAAAGAAAAATAAAATACATACCTCAATTTTCAATTTCAAAATCACCCGCTTGATAGGGCTGGATTCTACAATCCTGGTTTCGGCTTCTGCAGACATCAAACTAACATTCTTGACGAGCTTCAAGAAGTCGAGTATGCGAATCACAAAATCCAACAAATCACATTCTCCTCTTACAATCACTCTCAAGTCCACCAATCTGTCTTCTGATGTGGATTCAGCTATGTTTGTAACCTGAACATCTAATCTTACATTTGAGTAGCCATTGATCACTTCTCTATGATCACCTTCTTTTGCAGGAAAAAACTGTGCCTCCAACAGCTGGTTTCGTCGAGCAAGCTCTGCAACTTGAGCTTTCAAACAACTCACATACTCCATTGTGCTAGTAAGCACCGAGGACTTGTCTTTCTACGTAATCCAAAATTAAAATCAATTTAAAGGAGTTAATTAAATTGGCTGATGAATTTATCACGTATATATATTATTACATTAATATCCATTTGTTGTTGATAAAATGCTAATGTTATGCGATACAACGAGTAATAGCTAGAGAGGAATGGAGACAGAGAATTCATGTGATCGACCTTCATTCGCTTGAAAATGAGGCAAGTACGATGATGATGATAATGAAATCAATATTGTACCTTAGATCCTGGAGGAAGTAGTGATCTCAATGCTTGAAAGCTTTCGTTGAGTTTTTCTCGCCTTCTCCGCTCAGAGATCATATGGTGCAACTGAGAGCTCGGGGGGCGGCTTCCTTGTTCTTGGTTTTGCATAACTAAGCTTAAGCTTCTAAAGAACTTGATTGATCGTTTCAACATATTTTGTTTTTGAAGTTTGGTTGTCAATTGAGTAGTAGTCGAGGAGGAGGGGGCTAAAACTGATCTATAATTCCGAAATGCACTTCGATGTGATGAAGAAGAAGACGATGAAGAAGGAGAAGATATAACAGCAAGAATGGCCTTTGTCATTGCAGCATCTTCGCTCTCTATTGTTAGGAATTGATTAGTGCCTCGGATTTGGCTCAAGGCTTGAATGGCTTGACTGTGTGGACTCGTAGTAGTTGTGGTTGATATAAATGGTCCCAATGCTTGCTCAATGGGGGCTTCTTGTGGGTAGCTAGTGTTTGGAGTACTGGTGGTGTATAGAAAAGGAGAGCACTCGGTGCTATCCATGGACGGTGCTGATCTCATTGAAGATGAAGATGACGAGGGCCGGGTTTGACTGATTGGAAGTAGAGGAACCTCTCTAAGCAATGGTTGTCCAGATAAATCTTCCACAAACCACTTCTTCATCTCCTCTCCCATGTTAACCTGCAAATTAATTAACCCGATCCAATTGAGCTTTAACTAAAATGAAAAAAATTTAAAAACATTTGACAAAATTTGAAAAGAATTCAAGGGTTTGTGCAATTGACAAAAATAAAAAATAAAAATAAAAATAAATGAAGAAGAAGAAGAAGTTTAATTAGAATAAGACTCTGTTAAGCTGAGTTGAACCGTTCTTACCCGGGTGCCATTGGACATGCCTATCTCTATCTCTCCGGTCTTGCATCCCATAAATATTGCAGTCTGTAGTAAAGATTGAAAAATAATGAAGACTGATGATTAATTGATTTTTATATTTTAATTTTGATTATATTAATATATGTTTGAAATTAACACTTAAAGGTTGTTGTTGGAACAAACCTTGATCCTAGCCTCCTGCAATAGTAATTAAACACATATATAAAATCAGCGAAAGCCTTTGATGAAGAAACAAAATTAAATTAAATTAATGTTACAACCATAATCGTGCACGTTACCTGATAAAATTGCAACTGTGATTCAATGGATGCTCGGCTTAGAAGGTCCACCTCCTTTATCTCAATGTAGGGAAGACTATTCTTGAAAGCAAGTCCTGGAACACGCCTGATTATATAGAGCAATAAGAATGCACTTAATTAATTACAACATCACATACATATACATACATATATATATATATATATATGACAGAATTTGTTTTGACATTCATTGTAGAATATATATATATATATATATAAATTTCTATAATTACCCATTAACAGTGAATATCGACTGTCGATATTGATCAAAAAGGCTCCGAGCTGGAGAAGAAAAGCCGGGTTGTATGTTTTCTTCATGGTAGAGTCCATCCATGAACAGTAAACAGCTGATAATATTCAGGAACATATAAGTGATAATATAATGTGTAGCCCTGTGGGAGTGTGTATAATAAATATATATATATATATATATGAATGAGACAGAGAGAGAAAATACTTGGATGGCTGCAAATAGGACCATAGGCAAATATAACTAGTAGTGGAGGAGGCAAAAGAGTGCAGAATGTGGTGGAAAAGGTTGGCGCGAGCTCTTTCATCAAGTAGGAAAATGGACTCCATATGACACATATGAAGAAGTAGCTGCAGATAAATGAGAGAGAGAACCCTTTATATATTTGGATCACTATATATATATATATCCGCTCATCTCTCTTTAGTAGTAGGTGCTAGCCTGCTAGGTCATGGTATTGGTAGTTTTGCCTTTTTCTCAACTAAATAAATAAATAAGCCATATTATACGGACACGTACGCTCTGGTTACAATGAACTAGAGTGATGGGGAGGAGGGTAGTCTTGGAAGCTAATAAATTAAATTGACTTGGTTGGTTTTATAATGGGAAAGGTCTGACCATGTCGATCTCTAGAATATACATATTGAGTCACTTGAATTAATTTCATGGCATGAGAGAAGATGCCCACCAGACAAGAGGCCAGGAAGACCCCAAATAAAGACAGAGATAAAGAAGTATAGAGAGATGTTTGGGAAAATAGGAACTTGAAAAGTAGTAAAGGTGTGTGTGCGTGAGAGAGAGAGAGAGAGAGAGAGAGAGAGAGGGTGGCATGCCGCCAGTCAAGAGATTAGAAAAGTAGTAAAGCTGTGTGTGCTTGTGTGTGTGTGTGTGTGTTTGAGAGAGAGAGAGAGAGAGTGGCATGCCGCCAGTCAAGAGATTAGAAAAGTAGTAATGGGTTGAAGTCCAGCTAGCTAGCCAAGACTTGAAGAGAGTCAAGAGAGGAAGGCGAAGTGTCCTTCTCTCTCTCTCTCCCACTTCTACTACTTATTATCCCTTTAATTTTCTTTTATTTCTATTCGCTTTTCTCTGCCTTTCATTTTTCTTTCGCTTTTCTCTGCCTTTCATTTTTTACTTTTACTTATAGGCCCATACTCTTTTTTGTTGATACCAATTCTACTACTGTCTATTAATTTAAGTTCATGCATTTGTTTCTTACCATAATAACCTTTGACTAATTCTAACAAATGAGATGATTATATATGGACAAAACTTTTAAACCAATTAACACTTTGATTTTTACTCATCATGAATCAAGTAGAATCATAGGCGTGATATAATTATTATTTTATTACTACTTAGTCAAAAGGGTAGGTGCGCCTATCAGTAGAGCTTGTATTGTTTTAGATTTTCGGCCTCTGTTTAAAACCCACTAACATTATCATCCCTTCCCTTTAACCTCTAATCTCATGATATTTCTATCCGCTTTTTATGGAATAATCTAGGTCCTTTGGAAGAAATGGCCTTCAACCTGCCCCAAAGGCTTAAATAACCATTAGAAAGAATACCTAGTGCAGTAATGCTACCATGGGCGACTTACATTGGCTTGTCTAGTTTTGCATTTCAAAGCTAACCATGGGCCACTTACATTGGTCTTGTCCAGTTTGTATTTCAAAATTTTTCCATGGCCATTTATGCGGACAAAATTTAGATGGTCACGAACTAAGTCATGTAAAGCGGGAGCAGAGAGAGCGTATTCAAGAGCGAAAGAGTAAAAGCAACATTGTCACAAATAATGAGAATGGAAGTAAGAAAACAAGTAAAACGTGAGAATAAAAGTGCGCTCAGAACATAAGAGCGACACCCGTTAAAAAAATTTATGTGATATGCATGACGAGACCAGTAGTCCAAGCGAATTTTTTATTAGACATGAGCAAAAAAAAATTGGAAAAAAACTTATATATCCAATTGTGATTATTAGCCGAGTACCATTTAATAACTTGTCTATGTTTTTATTGGCGTCCACCATAATTGAAATGTCCTCCTACTGTTTAACAACTCGAGCCAAGCCTCGTCCATATTCCACGGATGGGCCCACCCAAATGAATATGAAAAAAGTTGAGGTTTGAGTCATTTGACCCAATGGGCTAATTTTGACAATCGTTGTTGCATATGAAAAAGGATACTCTACAGAATTTTAAAGGTGACACAGAAAAACAACAAAATCCACAGATCGGATAGTCCTGGCCAAATCTTCATTGTCCTTTTAGAAGACTATCATCAGGACGGTCCTGATCATTCATTCACTAACAATGCCTGTGTGATGATGTGATTGGCACCATTGTTCGAAACTGACAGACAGAGAAATTTGGTAGTGACCGTCTCTTTTTGACCGTCCGATCGTATGGGTTTCACAGTAAATTGCACGTGAAACTCACCCGATCCAACTGTATTGCTGGGTCAAGATTGGGTAAAGCTGATTTTCTATCCAAATGTATTGCTGGGTCAATATTGGTTAAAGCTGATTTTGATTGATGCTTAAGCTATTTCTGCTTAACCCAAAATAATATAGTTCAGCCAAAACATTTCAACCCAAAACATATCTCAAGACTCAAGCCCAACATTAGATTTTGGGTTGGACATGTTTCGGACCATTTCGCAACCCATTTATATTCCAAACTAAAAAAGTGCCTTCTCAATTGAACCCACTCGAGGAGTGGTATATTGTAACACTCCTAATATTTAAAAGGATATAGTTGGAATTTAAATTAAATTTTTTTTAAATTTTGTTTTCATTTTTATTTAATTATTTGGATTTTGTGTTTTGTATGAGTATTTGACTATATGTTTAATTAGCATTGTTTTTGTGTTAAATTAATTGCTTATTTGTTTTAATTTAATTGGATGATTAATTGGTATTTTAAAGTAATTAATTATTTGTTTTAATTTAATTGATTAATTAATTGGTTTTAACTAACGTGTGTTGTTTATGGCTTATATGGTTTATAAATTAAGTTTAGGGTTTATGTGGTAGAGCCGTCATATAATGAGTCATGGAAATTAGGATTAGGGTTTTAATGGAGCCTATATATATATAAGTTGTAGGTCTGGCAAGGGTTTTAAAAAAAAAAAACAAACTATGTTCCCGTAACTAGAGAAAAAGATAAACAGAGAGGCTGAGGGGTAAAACATGAAAGGAAAACTGGGGAAAGGCTTTCAGCAATGTAATTGAAAGTCGTATCAAGGAGGAAGGAATGGTTTACTGTGAGATTAAACTGGAGCAGTGATTAGAGGAATGAACAGTCTTGGAGAAGCTCTGAAACTTAGAGACGACGATGAAGATTTCAAACCGGAATCTTAAGGCAAGTTTCAGTCTATTCCTCTCATGTAAACTTGTGTTCTGTGCATCTTATATAGACTCCAGGAATGTAATTAAACTTTTAAAAACGGACTTTATGCATGCTAGATGTTTTCTGTAATCTGTTATGCGTTTTTTAAAGTTTAAACTTATTGTTGCATAAACTGTTTTGTTGTGAGTTTACTTTCTGTCGATTGATTTACACTGGAGTATGAGGGGTTCTAGGACTGTAAGAAACTTAAATAGAGTTCTAAAGATGCTATAAAGGTTTGGGGATAGGATGGGAAGCTTTGCCGGAAGCACAGAAGGCAACCGAATGAAGCAGAGATGAGTTTGGAGCAAAGGAGAAGGCTCAAAGTGAGAGAGAGAGGGCTCCAAATTGTGGGAGCCGTCTCCACCTTCTTAGAGCCGGCTCCAAGGGGTTAGGGAGACGGCTCTAGGTAGAATAGAGCCTGCTCTTTTATTTTAGAGCAGGCTCTCTTGGTTAAGACACGTTTGGATGCATTTTGGAGCTGTTTGGGCATTGTTTGGGCCAAGTTTGAAATTCTAAATGGTTTTAGGGACTGGAATGAGAATTCTAAAAGTATTTTCAAGGGTTTTTAATACCTCTAATTGTATATTTTGGTTCATAGGGCAAATGGAATAAACAGTGTAAAAATAAGCGACTTTGTACGCTACTAACGGATAAGAAGGACTAGTATGCTAAGTTTTGTTTTAAAAATTTAACGGACTATTGCATGGAATCTAAATATGATATTATGCTATATTAGAACTCATCATGAATAATTTATCCTAATATGCTAAGGGTTTTCACAGTGTGGGAGTTTTAAGTAATGACGCACATTGTTGGCGATTGTAAAGTATCTAGTTGTGTAAATTTAATTTAGCAACTTAGATGACCGGAGGATGGTTCTAAAATCTATGTTAGATACAGAATAGGGTCATGTATTTATTAGACCTTATTTGTGCATAGGTTGGATTTTAATTAAGGAACTAATAAATTAGGTTCCATTAATTAAATGGAGATTGTTATTTTAATGGTTAAACTGTTCTTTATGTTTCAGCAACTATTGGTTAGTACTGTGGATTTTTCTGAGTTATAGTTTGGCATTCTCAGCTTTATAATTGACTCTTACTATTGTTAATATTGTCAACTGCTGGACTGTACTATGGGTTAGTTGAAATTTAATTAAATGAATTAAATTGTCAATGACATCGATGGATACTGGATCTTAACTTGATGAATTATTAAATTTTGTCTTGTTAATTACATGGATGGATTCTGGATTGCAAGTTGATGAACTATTTGGATTACGTGGGTATGATTTGATGAACTGTTGAAAATGTTACATCATTCAAGGATCATTTGCATTATATGTACCGGTATGGAACAGTAACATATCAGGGATGGATTAGATCAAAAAGCTAAGTCATACCCCTTCATACATAAGGAATGGATTAATTAAAACAGTTAAATCCTACACGGATGCATGTCCTGTCAACTAAAACAGTTGAACGACATAATGGATATTTGTTTTATCTTTCTGCACTAAGAAGGAATTTATATATATATTTATGGTACCGTGATACGAGCTTGAGTCTCCTGATCACGGTTAGGGTGTGTATATCGCAAAGGTTGAGTAGCTAGATAAAGCTAACGTTCCCTGGTAAGTCTAGGTACTTGGTTGCTGAAAAGCGTGTTTTATATGTCACCTTCTACCCAGGCTGAACTATGTTATAGGCTAGTGAGTATCCTATAGTGTGTATTTATATATCTATGGACTATTGTAGATATTGCCGAGTTATCTAGGATGTATCTGCGTATTGGGTTTATGTATGGATTGTAGTAGATTGGAACTTGCATGTGGGCCTGACCCACTCCTATTTTTCAGGTATTCTCCAGTTCCAGCTTAGAGTTTGATCGTGTTGATGTAGATACAGACACTCACTCTACCGGTTACATAGGATTTCCTTCCCATTATGGTTTTGGATTTTAATTCTGTAAATTTATCTAAAGATTTGTATTTAGGGGTCCACCAGGTGGATTCCCGAGTTGTACGGATTTAAATTATATTAAATTATTATTTAAGGTTTGAGGATTTTCATATTAGTATTCTTTCTGTTTATTATTATTTAAATCTTACTTCAGTTTTATTCCTGCTTGTTTACATATTGATTGTTTGGTATCCCTCGGATCTGTGCTCGGACTTGATCACTCGTGGCTCTAGAAACGAGGGGTATCACAGTTGGTATCAGAGCACTCCAGGTTCTAGTGTCCTTAAGAGTGTCTTTCATTAGAAGTCTTCCGCGTTGCGTCTCTTAAAAACTTAGAGCTATATCAGGATTCGTTGTACTCTGTTACGGTTCCTTAGGAAGAGCAGCTGATGTCAATTATATTCCATAATTATGGAATGGTTGACACTAGAAGGAGGATGGGGTCGAAGGCGACAGCGAATCAGACCCGACGGAGTAGAGGAGTACATTATCGAGTTCTCTATCAGAAGCAGAACTTGGGATTGAAGGTTTAGTTCCGGTTGGCGCTACTTTTCGAAGTATAAGCCAATGAGGGATATAGGAGTGTGTTTTAAGTCGCCGTATAAAGGGACTAACACGATTTCAGTTGTTCTCATAGAGGAGACAACCAAGGAATAGGAGTCCAAAGAGGATTCTAGTGGAGGAGATTTCAACATACCCAAGAAAGAGGGTATTGAATGTTGAAAATCAAGGATCACGTGAAAGTGATCTTGCTCGCTAATAGTATAGTGAACAATACTCATAAAGTTGAGGTGGATAGCTAAACTTATGTATTACCTTTAAACAAGGTAGATAAAGGAAACTCTTTAGGGGTTTAGGAATCTGATG